ATTTATATATAAAATTTATTAACATAATTATACACATTCTAAAAAAAATTGAGTCAAAATCTTATCAAATTGCTCAAGATATACCTCAAAACACAACTACTTGTAAATTGGGTCACTTAATATCCTTAGATTGCAAGTGTTGACTTCAACCTCTAGTATCTCCTTTATTTAAAATTAGAATTTATCAAATAATATATCAAAAGTATAGTTGAAAAAGTGCTCTTTCTAATTCTAGTCACTGATCTTTTATTGCTTTCTATATGCGCATATTATGTCCAAAAGAGTGATAGTAGGTACAAAATCAACACCTTAACTTTGAGTGCATATATGTCTTTCATATAAGCTCTAAATCACACAAAATTTTCACCAAAACCATAGCCAAAAACCTAAAATTGTTGATCCTAGCCTCCAAAGTTTGAATTCCTTCAAAACAGTAATCATAATCCCTAATAAGGCTTTAGACAGCCTCCTTGAAGCCCATTGGGCATGATTTTTGGCCAATAGGAATGGAGATTTTCATCATCCATCTCCACTCAACCACATGGATGTCCTAACTTCTCTTCTTGCTACCAAATTCCCTCTCAAATCCTTTTTTTAATAAGATTTATATACTATATGTCCTAAACATCAAATAAAAGAAAAAAAACAAATCTTTAAAGGTCACTAATTTCTAATAAAGGTGACTTTAAATATGTAAAAGTTACTATCAATCAAAATTAATCTTAAAAGTGACCATCAAAAAATATAAAATTATATAAATTCTACTAGTAGTTCTTTTAAACAACCTCTTTTTAAAGTAGTAATTTAACTATATTCTACAACCAATTAAAATCTAATAATATGGCTTTTACCATATTACTTAGTCTATTGTATATTAAACATATAAATACAATATTTTTACATGGTAGCCGAACCACAATACAACAATGGGATTGAACTCTCTTTAAGATCTAAAACCTTTCTAATTTATAGCAACATATATTTCATCACAACATAGAATATATCAGACTAAAATAAAACTAAATAGAACCAAATGAAATCGAACATAAGAATTAAAATATAACAAAAGAAAATAGAATACAACAGAACAAAAAAAAATACAAACCAAACTTTACTAAGAAAAAGAGATCAAAGCCATACTTGATTGAATATCCAAATAGCCTTGGCTAATCCTATTTATACTTTATTCAACCATCCTAGAACTTTCTAGAATGTTCCTAATAGTGGGTTCTAATAAGATAACCGCCATAATTCCCCCTAGAATGTTCCATGGTGGATCCTACATAAACCACCAACCTAACTCCAATTCTAGAAACTTCTAGAAACTTTTCAAAAATGGATTTAACTACCTATATCTATGTATCAATAATATGAATATCTTATCTATGCCATATTACAATATTAGTCAATTGTAAGAATATGACTTAGTGATACTTCATCTTCTACAATGTGATCTTGTATAAAGTAAAAATTTGCTTTAATGTGCTTTGCTTTTATATAAAAATTTAAATTTTGAGCCAAATGCCTACCTCTTTGGTTGATAGAATGCAAGTAAATATCATGAATAATTTAATATAACTAATTAAGAAAGGTTAGATTTGATCTTTAAACATTCAGTTTCTATAGACACAAGAGTTGAAGAAACTAGATTTAATTTAAGAAAAGATTACTTTATATAAATTCTTTCTTTTGTGGCTTTTTAATAATCTTTATATTAAGTCTTTATTGTGCTATTAGAAACTATTTCTTGTCATTTCTTATATTAAGCTATTAGGTTGATAGCAAGCTTGAATATATAGTAGTCTTTCAATCTATATGTTTTTAAACATCCTAAATAGTTCATATTTGAACATCCTTGCAATATAATATTTAGAAAGCTAATTTGGACTTCTTTATTTGATGAAAAAAAAAATAGAGAGAAAACTTAATGAGATTTTTTTAAGCATTTATTTTGAAAGATTTGATTGCATAATGATTTTGTAAGAGCTTTGCAAAGTCAATATTACTTTTGATGATTGTATTTTTCGTAGAATAAAGAAAGGATTACATTTTAATAAATTTTATAGATATTATAACAAATATATGGATGAAAATTTGTCAATTTGTGAATTTAATTGTATTAGATATGTGATGTAAAACTTTATTTAGGTAAACAATTAGATGCAAGGTTGTTAATATTTAATTGGTTTAGGATCTCAAAAATCAAATTTTTAAGATCAAAGATAGTTTTTTTACTTTTAATCAATTTTTCAATTGGATTGATATGATTTATTTGTAATTTTTTAGATAAATTAGTTTTTAATATTTATATAACTATTTATGGCAAGTTAATGGTACAAATAGAAACTCTTAAGGCCAAAAGATAATATAAAGGTTGAAAAAAGATGAAAATTAACATCTTAGAAAATTATGAGTATTTTCTTTGAATTTTTAGGTTTAACTATCTTTAAAAAAATTATACTTATTTTCAACTAATATATTAAAAAGAAATTAAAAACTAAATTAATTTTTATGATTAAACTGATAATTATATAAATTTTAAATGTATTATAGAATTTATGTGAGATTTACTTGGGATTTGATTCAAATTATAAAATTCAACTTCAAGTTAAGATCAAATCCTTCTACAACCAAATATGAATGTATTTTCAAGTTGATTTTTATATAACACAACAATGATAAGACTAATAAAAATATATCAATTTTAGAAATTATAGCATCTATATTCCTTTGTATTCTTATTATATCTAACATATGGAGCAAAGATAGATTTGTCTTGAAACTTGTAACAAAATTAAGAAAGAATATAAATAAAGAACTACGACTAAGAACAAATAATTCAAAAATATTAAATCTATAAAGAAATAATTCTTGATAAAGAATTGAAAGGTGGAAAAAATAAATAGAATAGTTGTTAAAAATATAAGTTGTAGTACAAATGGCTTTAAAAAAAAACTCAAAAATAAGAGGCTTTGAACATAATACCATGAGTAGTTTTTAGAAAAGTACAACTTTTCTTTTCAAAAACATTGGTTTGGCAAAGATTATTGGATATAATTAATTGTTTAAGAATTTTGTGATTGGTATAGTATTGATTAAAGATTCTAAAAGTATATTCACTATTATGCTCATAACAAAGAAACTTAAAAAAACAAACAATTTTTTTTTTATAGTAGTATTAGATATAATAAAGTTAAAAAAATAAAATTTCATTTCTATTGAAAAAAGTAAAGCCATGTGTAATAAAAAAAAATTATATATAAAATTGAATAAAAATTTAAATTTTGACTTTGAATTAAAAAAAAAAAACACATAGATATGATAGAATAATTTAAGTGGTCAAAAATTAATTGTAAAAATATGCTTTAGAGATTTGTTAGGATGTTGCTTGCAAAGAATATAATTGTTGCAATAGCACTCTGTGAAAGGAATATTGGAAATATAATCTACCAATTATTTGTTAGACATGTTATAAATTACATAAAAATTAATGTATCTTGATTAATGATGCCATAAATTATGAAAATGTTGTGGTGCTTCTTCTTGAGATTATGAAAAAATGAATAATTGTGGCAAGTACTATAAAGTCACAAATAAGTAGAGTTGACGTGGAGATAGCTAGAATCATAACAAGCTAAAAAAAAAAAAAAAAAAAAAAAAAAAAAAAATTGTGGTAATTGTACAATCAACATGGTATAGGCAATACACTCTATTTTTAAAAGAGCAAAGAGTTAGTAATCAAATATTAGAAGAATTTTTTTTATTAATAATAATACATGAATAAGAATCTAATATTTCTAAGTGACTATCATTGATAATCTTGCTTGCTACAAGAAGATTCTTATCTATACCAAAGACATACAAAACATTCTTTGTTAATTTATTATTAAGATGAACAACTTCTTTTCTAATAATAGAAAGCTAATGATTGTTGGCAATTGATACACTTGTCTTTATTCTAAGAGGAGTGAAAGCATAGTGATATAAGGACTTATTTTTGGTGAAGTGATTAGAAGCTATAGAATCTATAAACCACTCAAAATCAAAAGAAGTATCACCCTTATTTGTAGACATGTTCCATGTACACTTCCTTAGGATAGTATTTATATGAAATATAATTGATAAAACTTATTCCTTCACTACAATGAGTTGAAATAGAGAAAACAACACAAATTTATATTGTATGTGCTAGAGATAGTATTGGCAGTCAATACATTTGTCAACAATGTAAAGAAAAACCCTAAATTCTAAGATGCACGTAATATAGCTATAGTTAGCTAACAAAAAAAACAACGTAGGGCATTTGTCTATTCAACTTAGATTGTGTCTATTGATCAGGAGAGACTAAGTGATCTCCAACACTCTGTTTGTAAGGTGTACTGAAAAATATCATACAAAATCCAAAACAAACCAAGTGCCTCACTACATATTCAGAATTTATTCAACAACTTGGAAACAAAAACAGAAAACAGATGTGAATATTATAATCAACATTACTACCTGCAAATAGCCCCCCACAGAGCGGTTGACATGGATTGAGGCGGGTTGACACGATAGCATTGGCGACAATCGGATTCGTGCACCTACACATAGAAAAGACTGTTAGATCTTGCCATCGGTTCCAGCCTCTGAAAATCAGAGGTCAGCAATGGAAATGGAGAGATGTGGCTCCTTCAGTTGAGACCCACTGGTAGGCATTTAACAATTTATGTTCGATTCTTGATGGAAAGAGTTCAACTTATATTTGAAACCCAATTCCTAAATGCAGTGGTTAACAGATTGAGTCCATCAATCCTGCAAATAAATGACCTACATAGTGCTCGGATTCGAGCAGCAAGCGTACGTGTGCAGCACAAAATCTCTCAACCTCAGCATCCATTACAAATTATCAAACTAGTCGAGGTTTGAACGTGCAAAACGCACCCGGTTCTGCAACCGAATGGCCCTCATTTGAAACCGCACACAGAACCCATTCCAACAACCTATTCCGAACGCCACCTCTCTCAAGACCTCTGCAACTCTAGATTCATTCAATCCCCCTCCCTACAGCATTACTACACTTATGCAAAAGTCATGATCATCAAATTGAATGCTACTCCACGATACAGGACCTGGTCTCCAGTTTTTACGTAAACTCAGTCCATCAAAATTTTCAAAACTTCTCCGCCCTTACAATCGCCAACGATCCTTCACAGTTCACCAGTAGCCCACCTGGCAGAACCAACATTGGTACTCTTGCCCGTGATTGCGATGAGTGAATATGGCGATGTATGGGTCATTTGCAGAAATTTGAGCATTGTGTGGATTATAATGCGGACAAGTGGGACTGAAAAAGGGTCTTCAAATTGTCATATGTGAGTGGCAAGCAGCACAGCAAGGAAAAAGAGACAAACAACAGCTGTACAGAGCACTACTAAGAGACCGCAAGCTTCGTCTATCCTTCACAGCCACTCACGTATCCGAAGGTCGCCGACCACCACCAGCCTGCCCCAGGTGAAGGTTCATATATTTCAGCTGGTGTGCGTTGAGATCGCAGAATTTGTCTGATGGAACTCAGATGAGCAGTGGCATTTTCTTCTCTAATTTTGAGCATTTATAAGTTTCAGCTTCTCTGAGATGCGGCCTTTTCGGATTGGATCGTTGTACTTCCTCCGCCGTTGCTCTACCCACGTTCAAGGTATGCTTGAGATAAACTTCTCTTTGAGATTTGGATTCCGCACTCCTTGTGTTATCTTTCATGTATCCAAGAATTTGATGTATGTGAATATTTATTTAATCTAGGGCCGGTGCAGTTCTGGATAGTATGCTTCAAATAAGTCGTACATTGGAGGCTGTTGTCTAAATGATACTACAGAAGTGGGGTTGTTTCCTCGGGATTCACTCTCGAGATACATCTAAACCCTAAAACGCAGCATTTCTTCATGTGTTGCCAAATTTCTAATTCATTTACAAATGAAGACCAAATTTTGAAGCAAAGTTTGGTTGTAGGCTTGCCCATCCGCGTGGGACACACTCTTGATGCCGGCCGTGGTGTGTATGCCATTCGGAACATAGCTCATGGAGAGCTTATTCATACTGCTGATCCCGTGGTGGCTCATCCCTCCATAGCATCTCTGGACAAGGTTCTCCTTCTACCTTCTATCTATTCACTCCTTTTCCAATCAGATCTCATTTTCCACTGCCATTCATATCTCCTTAGTGTGTGTGTGTGTGCAGGCGTGTTATTTCTGTCTGAAAGGCTTGAAAAGATCAGTGAGCTACGGTAGATTGCCTGCTTCCGAAGGTTCACCCACCTACTGTGATAGAACCTGTGAAGAATCAGCTCAAGTTCGTACTTCATTAAACCCTAAACCTGTTGCTTGACTTCTGGTTCATCATCTGGTGTAAATTTTCAATTGAATGAAAGGGTAGGGCAACGAAGACGCGAAATCACGTTTCCATCGATTTTTCTTTCAATCTTGTGATGACGAGTTGATCTGATTTGGTGTTCAGATGTTGTTCTATGCCGCTGAGCGGCAAGTGGATTGGTCAGAATTTCATGATTATTGCAGGTGAGCGTTGAGGTGCCTCATATTGCAGCAACTAGACCATCTATAACGTAATTAAGTTATTTCCCTTTTAAGATTTTTTAAATCTTTAATACTTGCTCCAATATAGGTTTTAAGCTCTAAGCTGTACATGCTTTATGACGGTACAGCACCTATGGCGTTCGTTTCCCCTTAATAGCGAAGCGGCTAGCTTGCATGGTGGCATCTTCCAGGACGTCTCCAAAATCGCTCGACATCCTGTCTCACGTCGACCTCTCACACGGTATTCCTGACAATGTAAGCGTATTCGTTTCCTGTAACAGTTGAATGATTTTGCATGCTTGTTTAGATTAGTTAGATTATTGAGTTGAGTGCTTCTAGACTTTTAGCTACTGAAAGAGATTACTGACCTATCTGAGATTAGTGGTGACTTTTAGCTGCTGGAAGTTTAACATCCACAGCTGATATTATTCTTTCTCGAGCAAGAAGGAATGATATGCAACTAAGCATTGCTGCATCAGAAGCTGAAGTAGACACTTACATATTTATCTATAGATCAGTTATAAGCTCTTTTTATTTTATAATTTTTTATGCTGAAGCTAACTTCGCACTAGTCCAGTGGATTACAGAGCGAAAGCTTCTCTTCAAAGCGATCAGTTCAAAGGAAGCAAGGGGCCTGAACTTGGAATGTATCCTTTTCTTTCTGAGGCATCAGATCTGAATTCATTCAATCATTTGTATTGTTAAGGCCTCAAACCTAGGCAATTTGTTAGGATCCAATCTTTGTGGAATGAAGTTTTATGAAGTTGAATGTGAAGCATTACTTTAGAGTTTTATTCCTTGACGTTCTTAGTCTTGACGGACGACTGGTATGCTGGAGTGCTCGCTAGATTGCACATAAATGCATTTCGCATTGAGAGGATAGAGGAAGCGGACTCTGAGGATATCCTTGCTGCCGCAGCAGCGTCAATCATGGGAGAGAGTATTGTGGGTTCTGCTGTTTACATTCTGCCCTCTATGTACAACCATAATTGCGGTATGGGCATTCTCTATCTTGTTTTTATTTTATGCAATGTTGTTGTTATAGAACGGTGAAGGAGATACTTTCTGCAATCGTACCTATTAGTTGCAAGAAACGCTACCACTACCACTATCAAAGCTCATTTTAATAATGTTCGGACGTTCAGTCACTCTCCTGTCCAACATGTAAATGGCCTCTGATTGAACGATAGTGTCACGAATTCAACACTTATGCTGGATGTTTCTATCAACGACAGATCCAAACGTGGACATTCTTTGGCCTTCCAATGCCACAGCAAACTTGGTGGCTCGTCGGAGCATCAAATCAGGTAAAATTTCCTCGACGTTTTCTTGTGTAAGACAAACTCTTCCAGCAATTTCATCACCACTCTTGAGGCTACGATTTTGTTATAGTTTTCTCAAAATCGAAGGTATGTGATTTATAGAACTTTGTTGTTCCTTTTTGCAGGTGAAGAACTGCACATAACGTACATTGATTCTAGCATGTCTCTAGACGAGAGGCGGAGCTTTCTGGAGCAACACTACGGTTTCACCTGTAGATGTGCTCGTTGCAGAGATGGAGACTGAAGATATACCAACATCTGTTGGCTCTTGCTGGCGTTTCCATATCGTTTGTTTGCCACCATTAGCTTACCATCTTAGATTCGAAGATTGGTGTCTAACTTGGGATGATTATTTTTAAATTCAAACGTTAGTGTTCATAGCAGCAAAGCGTGATGCTTTAGACTTGGAGATTCTAAATTGCAGGATATATAAGAGTAAACAAAATTTTATATTTTCATTTCTAACTTACTAAAGACTACCCCCCCTTTTTTTTGTAAAGGTGTAATTTAGAAAAAGATAGATTGGCAAGTATGCATTCTAAAGAAACGACAGTGTCCTTGGAAACTTTGAAGTGTCCAAATCAACATAATTCTCTTAGAACTTTGAAATTTCTAAATAGACAAAACTCTTTTTGAAATTATCAAAATATTTGATATAAAAAAAAAATGGTCTTTTGCTAAATTAAAGTAAGTAATATAAATTTAATTGTGCTAATCACAACCATGCTAAAAATATTGAGGTAAAGAATCTTATTTAATGGTTGGTATTTCCAATAATAATAATAATAAAAAAGAGTAAATCAATGAATCAAGGATAAATCTTTATTAGATAGTACAAATACTTGTAAAAGAGAAATAATTTTGAATCCTAAAAAAATATTTATAATTCTTCAACTTTTCCATAATTATTTATCTAATTTAATTAAATTTACATAATATATTTTAATAAATGAATAATTATATAGTATTGTGATTTTAGAATATTATATATTTATTCATGTATTTATTTCTTGTAAGGCTTGTATCTCTAGGCCAAAAAATAAGTTCAAATAAATTTTAAAAAACAAGTTTGAATTTTATGCATGTGCAAATATTTTCAATATTTAGATTTAAATTTTTCATTACACTCTATTCATCAAAGTATAGCATGTTGTCTTATAAGTTGCTAATCAATCTAATTCTTCTTAACTTGTATTAGATTCTTATTTGCTATTTGTTTTTTTTTTTTTAAGATTGTTTTGGCATTCCTAATTTCGAAATAACTAAATAAATAACGTGAGTACAATAGTTAGGTCATTTCTAGGGTGATGGACACATGTCATATGCAAATGAGTTTATTTTTATTTTTATTTATTTATTTTTTTTTTTTGAGACAATAACATTGTATGTATGCCTATGCCTAAAGCTAGTTACTTTTTGTCTCTACTCAAATGATAGATTACAATACATACTTGATACATTAAAATATGTTAAGCATTAGTAATTCTTCTACAATATATAATAACTAGTGTTTTCTTTTCTTTTTTAAAAAACTAAATACTTTAAGACTTTGTTTACTTTGAAGTTCTAATAAAATCTCTTGTACTTTTTGTATCTTTAAGACAAATTAAATACATACTTCATTGTATTAAAAAAGAACATGTAAATGTTTTAAACAAGGACTTCTAATATTAGCAATATTGGTGTTGTTGTTGTAAAATGTTGCTATTGCAAATTTTAGTATTAATGTTACTAACTATTGTTGATTTTTCTAAAGCATTACAATGAAATATAAGAATGAATATCAATGCAAATAATGTAGCTATTTTTTATTTTTTATTTAAAAAAAAAAAAAAAAAAAAAAAAAAAAAAAAAAAAAACATATATATAAAAACATAACAAAAACCTTTTCATTGATTGATATTTTTCTTCTACCAATAAGAATATTATTTGAATTCTCAAGAAATATTTTTTTGGGAACAAGAGAAGAACAACCGAAGTAATTCACACGAAATTGGCATAAAATATCTTAATTCCAAAAAAAGGAAACATCTTCCAAAACAAGAAATTAACTAAATTAATTTAAGTGAGAACTATTCCCACCGGGGGAAAGAGAAACGAATGAAACCACGTGGATGAATGAGCAACCGACTGATGACGAACGAATGAAACCACGTGGATGGATGGGTTGTGAAGGGATGGATGGCCATGCCAGGCCCAGGAAACGCGCCATGGCGGAGGGAGGGAGGCTGGCAATGGCGATGCGTGACTATGGCGATGGCTGCACGCCCTGTTGCTGGTCCACGCTCGCCGCGATGCTTTGATGGCCTCAATCTGCATGGCACCCTCCCTCTCTTACACTCTCGTGCAAGTATAGCGCAAGGGTTCACAGCTCACCATGTGTCACAACCCACCAATCAACCATCCACTCCCGTAATCGTCCACTGCCCCCACTCTCCGGCCCTCTTCCTCTTTCCTTTCCTCACTCCTTCAATCCCGTCTCTCATTCCCCCCATCATCGCTACCCTTCTCTCGATTTCACCATCGTAAGTTAGCGTAGCCGTTTGCTGCCGAATTGTTCCATGGGTTTTCGTGGGTTTGGTGTTTGTTTTTTTGAGTTTGAAGGGGAATCAGGGTTAATTAGGTGTACACGTTTCTTGGTCCCTCTCTTCAGGTGTCTCGCTCGCAACCATCGCAAGTGTTCTCACGATTCGATTGTTGTAGGTTTTGTCAATTGTCGTTTTTTTCGCCCAAAGGCTCATTGGCTTTTCATCGATTTGGTCAACGTATGTACTATTGATGGATTTAGGGTCGGTAGGGTAGACTGGATCCGTAGTGTGGTGGTATTTTTTTTTTTGGTTTCGTTCATGCTGTGACGTGTGCGATCTTTGCGACGAGGGCGGATTTGGGTCTAAGTGACTGCATTTTAAAGTTATATATTCACGTATATATATACATACATACTTATTTTGTGAAGGATTTTTCGGGAGGATTTTGGTGATTTTAAGGAGTTAGGGGTGTTAGCATTGTTTTAAGAGCGTATGATGCGTCAGAAAGTGTTTTGAGTGGGGAACAGAGTGTGCTGCAATAATCGAGAGATCATATTTGTTCCTATTCATTGTGATTATCGATTGTTTGGGTTGGTGTAGGGATTGTGCCCTCTGGTGCCGATCGTAATATGCTAGATGGAGTTGATTTTTTTGTTTAGTTTTCTTTTCTTTTAGGTTTTTAAACAATAAATTCAAATGAGATTGAGGGCGTTCTCGCCGGCTGCATTGAAGGGCGTAGTACTCTTTGTGTTATACACAAACTTTGCAGCGAAATCTCTAGGCTCAAAGATGTTTTCTGGTGTTTTAGGGGTTTTCTCTGATTTTGAAATTGAACTTAACAAAGTTTATTTTTCATTCTTCCGCTGAAACGTAGCTCATTATGACAAATGTTAATTATTTAGCCTTAGTTTATCCGTAATTGATCGTCAATCTTCCTTGTTCATCAGCTGCAGTACTAGCAATAGCATCATTCACTGTGAGCAGACTCACGTCAATGGCTTATCGTTCTGGAAAATGTAGATTCGATAGAGTTTATTTGTATTGCTATACGCTTGAGCCGAATGACTGCGCCTGTGATTAGTTAGCCTCTCGGGGAGCATTCTAAGTAGTTCAAATGGAATAAAGAAGTACTTGGATATGAGAATCCGCAGGCACTAGAGTTTGGAAGCGCGGTTTCCACTCGATTTTGTGATGTGAAGACTTAACATCATTTGGGCATGGACATGCCAGAAGACTAGTAACTGCACTTGAAATCGTGCTGTTCAGCTATAATATGTATTCCCGTGGATTTTGGATCTTTATCACAACATCTCATAAGCAGCTGTGTACCAGTCGATCTTTGTTTACGGGATTTGATAATCATTAGTCAGTCATGTTAGTGAAAAAATGAAACAAACTTTAGGGTTCTGTCTGCTCCTAAAGCTTCCATTGATAACATCCTCCGAACTTAATCTGGTGCAGCACTGGCTTTGGTAACGGGTGAAATTTGTTCACTACACCATCTTTCTTCTTTTTTAAGACCTTTTTATGGCGTATTACAAAGTTTTTTTTTTAAAAATCTAGTAAGCCTGGTCTTGATTCACAGGTGTCTTGTTCTGTTGTTGATCCAGTGTAAGCTGGAGACTTGAAGACTAGGATATGGAAGATTCGATCAACAGCACAAACAAACACCTGGCAGGAAGGTCATGGAAGTAAGGTTAAATACTGGACATTAGGGCTTTAGGATTCAATTTTCTCTCGTCCGACTCACTAGCATTTTCTGGGCAGAGAATGCGCTTCCTGGGAGAAACAGATTGTTACTTGGACTCTGAACTGCTAGTGTGGTTTTACTTCACTTAGGGAAAGCACATAGCTGGTACGATGCTAGAGCTATTTGCATGATTAACAAATATTAATAGCAACGATAGAAATATACATTTGGTAATTTGTGTGCCTAGGCCGTCACGATATTGTTGTCTTTAGTATTACATTATCGTTTCTAAGCATGGACTCACAGAGCCAGTCGGGTATACCTATACAGGCAATTTGCACCTACACAGAGCGGGTGCAGAACATGACTTCGTAGTCGCAAGATCCTCCAAGCATTATTCAATATAACTACATGCAATCTGAAGTCGCCTTGCACCTGGTGCAAGTTTTTTGATATGACCTGCTGTTGTCGGACCGTTAATTTGTAGACATGGAAGCGCAGTCTACTCAAGCCAATGAGCCGGTCGATGACGGTGGATTTAGGGTTTCTGAAGATATGGTAGGTCGGGTTAAGGGAACTGGCAGGCCTGACCTGGATGAAGATGAAGATGATGATGTCAATGATGTGTCTGAGCAAGGAAGCGTTCTATCTGATTTTGAAGAGGAGGATGACATAAACGAGGTTGTGGTTGGGTCCATGCCCCTGGTTATCCCTACAGCAGTAGAGAATAATAAGAGTCCTCGTTTGTTAGGTAGCAGTATAAAAGACTCCCTTGTAGAAGTTCAGGGAAATACAAAAGTGGATCTCTCGTTTGGAGAGGGACGACTTAGTTTGGAGCATTCTGTAGACGGAGATTTTATTTCGCCAATTGTTTCTAGCACGCTCACAGGGGAGGAGAGTAGCCAGCACTTGAAAACGATTTCCAAAACGGACTATCTCAGCGAAAGTTATAAGGATGGCCTTTCTGAACCAGGATCAGATTCAGAAGTCCATTTCGAGCAGCAATTAGACAATCATACAAAGGAACCGAATGGAGGAGAGCCACTAAATTTAGAGCATCCTGCACATGGAGATTCTTTTTCTCCAATTGCTCCTAGTAAGCTTGCAGAGGGGAAAGTAGAGGAAAACAATCCACCTTTGCAAATGTTCTCTAAAACATACTATCTCAGTGAAAGTGATGAGGATGTTCTTTTCGGCCCTACACCAGATCTGAGGGTGCTTTTTAAGGAAACATCGGGTGTGCCCATGGATACTGTGAGCACATCTGTTACTAAGGACAACGTTCCCCAATCTGGAGAAGGAGCACCTCAAGCTATACCCTCTCCGAAGCTTGATCATGTTGATGCCGTGACGTTAAGGACTGGCGGTCCGGAAGTTGACAGCATGTCTTCAGTGAAACGTGATGTGAACGAGACCACCAGAAAGAAAGGGACAATCATGCGGTTGGGGTCGAAGGAAGCAGAAGAACTATTGCAATTGGACCTCTCGAAAGCGGGGAGAGCTATTTTTCCTTCTGTCAAAAAGTCACCGAAAACAAATAGTGTTGGTTGGGGAGTTGATGACCTTGGGCCTGATGAGGTAATCTGATCTTGTACGACTCTGCAGAAGTGTGAAATTTTCGTAAGTCTCTTGGTGTAGGTTGATATTGTTGTGGCTTGACTACTATGAGAGCCTGTGCTCTTCCTATTTCAGGAACATAAAATTTGTCCTGGTATTCCTTGCTAGTCTGTCTGTTTAGAGTTGATTTTCCGTAAAGTCTTAGCTTTGTAACAAGCTTAATTTCACCAATGGTAATCAACAGCTCTCAAGATATGTCGAGACTCCAGAAGTGAAGGAAACGTATTTGGATACCGTTCTCGATATGGAAGACGTGCTGCTTGAATCCGATGACAACCGCCGGCCAAGCAAAAATATGTTCACAAATCCCAAGCAAAAAATTGAGCGGGACGGCAGCCTTACTGCGTCTACTTCAGGAATTTCTTGGGGTTTGGGTAACAGGAACTCTCAGCTCGCTACAAACCATCTTGTAGAGGTTGCCTGGGTTGAAGTCGTTGGAGCCAGACAAAGAAGAGGTGGAGCTTCATTTAGCGAACGAGTTGTAGGCGTGCAAGAGCATACAGTGTACCGAATGCTCGTACGAGGTACTGATGGTCAAGAATGGGAAATTGAGCGCCGCTACCGCGATTTTGTGTTTTTATATCAGCAACTGAACCGCACTTTTCCAGCAGAAAGCACCGTCTCTCTCCCTACTCCCTGGGACAGAGTAAGAGCCGAGTCTCGTAAACTTTTCGGTAACACTTCACCCAACGTTGTTGAAGTTCGAAGTGCCCTCATTCAAGTTTGTTTGCAATCACTTCTCCAAGCAGGTCCCCCTCTTAGTACAGCTTCTCCATTCCTCCGTTTTTTGTTTCCTACCACGTGGAGTGTAACGCAAAGCACGATACTTCCGAGGGCTAGTAGTGAGAATTTAAGGACCAGCGGTTCTGGTCTTTCGCTGGACGAGTTTGGCTCCGAGCCAGGATTCTCGCCCAGGTCTGATACAACTAGTGTGGTTGCGGATGGGGGTACGCCTAGCTCTCAATCTGTATTTGGAAAAACTATTCGTTTGAGGCTTGAAGTGCACAAAAAGAAACCATTGGCGCAGCAAATGCAGTCACAGCATCACTCATGTGCCGGCTGTTACAGGCCGCTTACCTTCGCTGTGGGGTTTATTCCTGGGCTTGCACAAAGCTTAGGACTTAGCGGGCCTCGATGGTGCGAGTACAGCGGGCAATTATACTGTTCTTCGTGTCATCTCAATGAGACAGCCGTTATCCCAGCTTATGCGGTGCAGCACTGGGACTTTGGACTTCGTCCAGTTTCACAGTTGGCAAAAGCATATCTTGACTCTATTTATGACAAGGTGGGACTTTTTTCAATGATAGAGTCAGTCTTTATTGTAGATAATATATTTAACCGGAGATGAGTAGTGTTGTCTGAGAAGTTCATCACGGTTACAGTTTCAACCTTCGTAGGAACTCTGTGAATTAAACTATATGAAGTTCAGTACTATAGTTGTCGAACAACTATATGAAGCTCGTATAATAACTACATGAGATTCAGTACTATTTATTTAAAGCTGACTAGTTCTTGTGGGTTCTTTGAACAGCCAATGTTGTGTGTTAGTGCTGTGAATCCGTACTTATACTTTAGAGTCCCGATTTTGGTGCATTTACGAGAAACAAGAAAGCGACTTAGCAGGATGCTGGCCTGTATCCGATGCCCTTCAAGATCTCGAATTCAAGGCATGGTGGGCTCAAGGCGGTACCTTTTGGAGAGTAACGATTTTTACGCCTTGCGGGATTTGACTGATCTTTCCAAGGGTGCCTTCGCTGGTAAACATGCTGGACTTTTCTGTTGTATTCCATCATCCGATCTCTTACTACTTTCATTGTTCTAATCTCTCTCACTAGCAAAGACGACCTATTTGTAAATGTGAAATGAGAAGGGCCGTGTGTATTGATGACCTTCAAGGTTCTGAAAGAGGAACAGCTGAACTTGGATCAACTGATGTTTCAAAAAACAAGGTTTTTGGTTACTTAACATGAAGTAAAAAGGAAACTTCTCATATTGGTAATTATTGGTGCTTATTCTCTTGGGAATAATAAAGTCTAAATTGTTGCCTTCGGTGTGGCTCATTTGTTGCGCAATGTTCATGTGCCTTGTGGGCATGTATTTCAGGATTACCTACCTACATGAATACACTTCTAGAGAAGCTTACAGTTCACATAAAGTGCGAATGTTCTATTTGTCACGAAATGGGCGAACCCTGTGGTGCGGGAAAATTTTGTAGAGATCCTCTTGATATCATCTTTCCGTTCCAGGTACACATCAAACTTTCTGCTAAGGCCATTGAATTATGATAAACAGTGTGAATTATTAGTGTTAACTATTTATGCAAAGATGATCAAGTATTCCTTGTTTACTGGTCTACATCTAACATTTGTATTTTTGTTAATTTTGTGCTACAGGATGATGGCGTGGTGAGATGTCTCATATGCCAGTTGCCTTTCCACAAGCTTTGCTTCAGGCTTATAAAGATTTGTCCTTCATGTAGTGGAGAATCGTCTCTCGACATTGCCGAGATGAGCCAGGCTCAACAAACCTCCATCTCCGACGCAAGTAACAGCGCCTCTTCTCTAAAGACCACTCCAGATGCTCTTGCTCCAGATGCTAGTGTGCAAGCTGATAGGCAATCCAAGATTAAGGTGCCTAATTTCTTGTCAGGTATTTTGAAATCCAAGGATAGCAATAGTAGCAGAGAAGCAATTCCCGATCGGCAGGACTCGATAGTTTTGGACATGATATCAGGTCCACTTGAGCTCTAATGAGATGAGGACCCCTCAACCGCATTTTATGAGTGATTGGAAAGATGCAAGCAATCGTCACAGATAGGTAGAACTCGGTGTGTTTGAATACACTGAGATATACAAGCCATGGGAGGGTCAGCAGCACTGTCAACAACTACCCATTGATCTGAACAGGTCATGAGGTTCATTGAATACTTAAGATACAATGTCAGTTTAAGGTGTTTCAAAGGATGAGACTCCAGGGTTGGGTAGCTTTCAGCCTCGGATATCCACCCGGATGTAAATTGTTACTATGATCTTGAGAGTCAGTAATAAGTTCTAATTCCCAGATTTTCAGAAATTATATCTTCTGAAATTTATGTTGCGTTTCATGCTTTGTTTCATTTATTTCTTATGTATTATTTTACTCTAAGAAATGGTTGTTAAGAATTAGTTGATATTATAGATTTGTTTTAATCATGGCGACGTTTTTTTTTTGAAGAATTGCACATTGAATGATTGCAAATCCAAATCAGAAAAGTCAACATTTCAATTTCATTTGAACATTTCACTATATTTTTAAAGCTTTTGAATCTTTAATAAGCATACAAAATATATTTTTTAAATACATTGCTTGAAAATACGTGTGGTAAAAGTAATAATAAAATTAGGGAGTATACTTATAGATATATTTTAAAACTAATTATAAATGTTATTCAAATCATTCTTATGAAGATGTAGAAATTATTGTTTTATTTGAGAATTTGATTATACATATTTTTTTAGAGCCCACAAATTCCTATGAACAAAATATTTTCTAAGTATCTTGGTTTACAAGCATGCCTAAATTTTCTATTGCTAAATACAATGATTTGAATATATAAGGTGATATTTATTAAAATTATTAAAATTATAAAAAAATTATTTTTGAACTTTGTAAAAAGAAACATTACTATTATTTAATACATATGATAAGTAAAAAAATATTATCATTCTTCTAGTAAACTTTTATAACTGTTGTCTATTTTAAAGCAAGAATAATTATTTAAATTAATAAGCTTCATTGCAAATCTTTTATTATCATGTTTTATTTTTAATCATGTATTACATTTTAAACAAATACATTTTTGTTTTAAGAAATTACAAAAAACAATTATACTTTAAAATAATTAAAAAATATATATATCAATTAAAGTTTTCAACATCTACAAAATTATGAGTTTTATTATTTAATTATTATAAAATTTTGTACTAAACTTCATTTAAATATTGAACAACAAGCTTATGGTGATTTAAATAGTGTAAGTAACAAAAAAAGATATAGCCATTTAAACTCTTGTAAATCATTTTTTTAATCCTATTTTTCTTTAAGTTTGTATGTCTACTTACATTTTAAAATAGCCATTCAATCGTCTTATTAAATCCTAATTTTACAATACACCTTGATTCCTATAAATGAAATTATCACCTACATTTAAATGATTGTGTGATATTTTTTTTTACAAATTTAAGTTTTAATGTATCACAAAATTAATATTGATAATAAAGCAGGTTATTTTTCATTTAACTATAAAACACTTCTATCAAGTGTTTAAATTTACATAACTGATTTTTGATGATTTAGTCAAATCAGTGTTTATTTTTATTTTGTTCTTTTTATTTAAAAACTAAAAATAATTGCTTGAAACACAATACACAAATTCTTGCATTTGCATTGTAGACATTATAATAAAATTCGACTTGTGATATTTCGATTCATAAGACATTTTTTCTCTTTCAAAAGGTAAAAAATCATAAAAAAGAAATAGACAGTTCTTCAAACCATCAAGCATTTGCCTCAATTTCAACATAAAAATTACTAGCGACACATGAAAACAATGAACAAAATGAGCCTGTGAGCAAATGTTGGTATTCTCTTGTAACATTATACGAAACATTCCTAGCTTACTCAACACTTCAAAGAACACATGACTCCAGAAAGCTTCTCAGGCATACTGGGTTTCCATCCACACTTTTAGTTTGGAAGTTAACATGCAGAGTTTTTATGCAATTGAACGATGGCAAAAATTAATACAAAACCATACCGATCCATTGGATGTTAGTGCAGGAGCGGCATGGGCTGAGAAAATTGGAGTGAATCTGAATAAATTGTGCTCATCTCCAGAGCCTAACGTTGCAAATTTGCATCGGAAACAATGCCTGCACACACAATCTCGGCGAGAGCTTCATCCTTCCGTGTTGTATCGTGTTTGCTCAATGCTCGAAATGCCCATGATTCAGAACTGGGTACAAGTTTTGATCAATTTTCTCCGTTGCATGCTCATTGCATTACATCGATAGGTTCAAGCAATCTGTCCAAAAGCTCCAACGATGCTTGAGACTCGGGCTTCGTGTTGCCATTAACAAGGACCGTCTCGTTGAGAAGAGCATGGATTCCTTGAGGCAGTGGCAGGTCTGATTCTTTGACGCCGCATAAATCTTCTGTTTCCTGCATGATCGGCGTTGTGACGACGAGGTTGGTCACATCGTTTATGCTCAACTCTGCGTCAATTTCTTCATCCGGGTAAGGATCTTGCACTAATGTTGCCGTGATTGAGGCTACAGTAGCCTCGATTAGCGCCATGTCTTCGATATCTTCAACTGCAACAGATGCTTTCAAATTGGCAAGCTCACCTTGGATATTGTCGAACCCGGTTACTATGTTACTGAGCAGCATGCCTTCTACTGGAGGATCTGAAGATTCTAGTGGTGGTTTGTTGAACACAACTTCTAAAGGGATTTGCACATCTAGGGTCATGGCCTCTTGGGCGATATCAACTTCGACATCCTTGTCGTCCCAAAGTGTCTCAAGCTGAGGAACTCTTGCGATGTCTACTGCAAGTGTCTGATTGTTAAGCAGAGAGACGTGCGAGTTTTCGAGGGGCTTACTGACTTCAATTTCCGCTACTCCATTCTCACCGTGATTGCTACCCACGGTATGTGAAGGTGCATCTGAAGTTCCTGATATCTGACACCGATCGACAAAGAGCTCCTCCTTAGCGACCGTTCCTGAAATATTAAAACCATGAATCAGTTAAGCCCAGGCGTTATGTTTCAACTTTTGAAGAGATAAAGCTTAGCCTATGCACTAACCCTTAATCGACTTAACACTGAAGTAGGAAAATAACCTGCAGGTTTCCTACCTCTGCCAGATTGCAGTGCGTCTTTTCCATGGCTGTTCTTGTTCCGCCTCATCCGCTTCGCTGGAAGTGTTTCTAATTCTTCGAAAAGAATGTGTCGTCCCAGCTTTCTATTCAACCTCGCGGACCGCCTCGGCGCTTCAACTGAAACCATGACTCCGACACAAGATCCTCGGTTTCAGGAGAAATTAGAAAAATTACTATTACACTGCAATTGGCATCTCTTACGGCACTCGCCTTGACATTTCATGCGGCTCCAGAAGCAAGACGCTCAGCTACAGTGCTTTGTAAAAATGTATCGGATTCGAATTGAACCACAGTGATGCGTACGATATCCCAAGTAAGATTCATTCTTTAAAATAGTTTAAAGAAGGTCCCTCATCAATGAATCACCTGATGTCCAGCAAAAGTCTCCCGCTTTGAGGTCACCCGCGTAAACTTTCAGATAGCAGATGAGATGTCTTGCAGACTTAATTTCTTCGCCATTTGGAGCAATGTAGCTCACATCCTTCCTATTAGGCACGCCGCCTTCTTTGGACCAAAACTGCGTCACACCACGGCTGATTGAATGCACAAAATTTATGTTCATACGCATCCAAAACGCATGGTCCAAGATTTCCAACAATATGTTTGACGCGAGTCAATGACAAGATTCCAGCTAGAAGTCGGAGGAGACCTTTTTCTTCCAGCCTCTTAGTGTGCCGAACAGGTCCTTCACGACGCAATCCGTGCTACCGGAGGCTTGAAGCGTCGCACCATTGACCTCTGGACTCGCCATCCACCCCTGCGTGCACGTCTTCCAAAAACTACACGAACTTGAAAAGAAAATTTTAACAGCTTGCGCGCACGTCTGCCGTGGTTACAACGTCAACCATTTCTTACCCGCAGGCGTACAGAATTGGCCCATTGCTGGATGTCAAGCGCATCTTTCGCGCTCATAGAGCAAACTCATGTAGCTTTTCAGGACTCTTATAATGTGACTTCACAGAAAAGCGCAATTCCAAGCAGCTGAATGCAACCTTGAACACAACCACCGCGGGACTGAAAATTAGAGGACGTAGAACGCGGAAATTAACGACGCTGTTACAGCCAAGCTTCTTGAGTATGGCATCTTCATGAAAGAATGGCAAGCATTTGAGGGAATGAAGAGGATTTGCAAGGGGTTTGTGAGAGGACAGGGGCACGGAGGTGCGAAGTGATGTGGAGAGCAAGACACCATAGATGTGAAGGAATGCGAGGTTAGAGAAGAGGAGGCACCATGCGAGCACGGAGGAGTTGCAATCTTCCACAACCTCCTTGAATCTCCTGCCACTCTATCGCCATTGTTGACAACAAGGGATCTCGAAAGTATCCGTTCTCCCCACTCGACGCCTTCGATGATCGATCCCGCGACTCCAGTCAGTCCTGCCGCCATGGCCGAGACCACCATCAATCTACACAGCACAACCAATAATCATAACTCGTAATTTTCCAGATCTCAATCCTCCGGGGAGCTTCAGCCTCCCTAAATGAACATGAATTATGAACATGAATAACTCCCTGTTATTGAATAGGTGCGTCGATTAACGCTATGCATGCAGACGAGAACAAGGATTAGTGATTGCGAACGGAGAATGGTCGATCCGATCGAACTTCTTGGGAAAACAAAACCTAGTAACTGTTCATCGGGCAGGCGATAGCGGCTCAAGACGATAACTGTATTCCGTATGTCTATGACACCGCGTAAATAATGCGTGTTTATACGATGTGTACAATGTCCAAAGTCAGTATATTATTTCATGACCTACAGTTCCATGCAGATGCCTTGGAACAAGACTGCCGTACTTTCAGATATGAGCACATTTGCTTTGCTTTGTTTTTGTTTTTGTTTTTGTTTTTTTATTTTTTTTATTTTCTGTATTTCTCTTCGAAAGGATACAAGCACAGTTGGTAACATCCTTGTGGCCGCTCCCACCTGTCGGTCCTTAGATAATTGGTACTTGTAGGATCCCGATTGGAAAGCTACATCACACAGTATGTGACAAGGTAGAGCATGAGAATAGAGCAGGAGAGCTATTATCAATTTAGAGGTTCCTTGACAAGATTGAGATTAGAAAAGGAGGTATGGGTCGGGGTTGTTGACGTCTTTGCAGCACAAAAATGGAGAATGACAAAAGCAGACTTAACATGCTGTCGTCGTTTTACTAGCAAGGAATTATCTCAGAATTTGATGCACTCTTTACATTTGACAATACAAGTGAAAGACTGATTTGGATTCTAGAAACCCAACCAGAAGAAACCTTTGATTTCACCAGGAATTGACTCTTCTTTCACAATCTGCAGTTTAGAACCAGTTTGCAAGTTCTAAAAGCGAACTAATGAACACAAATAAACTCACAATAGGAAAATGACCATTACCGCATTAAGTAAAGTTTCTCATCGCCAACCTGTAAGCACACTACAAAATGTTCTACAAATGTGTGTTTAATCTACCAGATCTTGTTTTCAACCACCACTTCAATGATGTCCTTAAGAGTTTCCTGCAGAATTTTAAAAAGACAATACAACTCGTCTGTCAGTACCATGAAACTCTAAACCCTAAACCTTGGAAATGACGCCTTTAAAGATACAATGTTGTCGTGTTAAAGTCTTGGACTTGCTGAACAAAAAAGATCGACTCGAAAATAATTGAAATCTCAGGTATGACAAACACGGCAAGAACTGGTTCAAATGCATTTGAAAGCGATAACGAGATTTGGTTGAGCACTTACTGCGGAATGATCAGCGAGTCCCAACGAGAGTATCAAGGGCCTGGAACAACCAGTTTTACTGCATCCATATCACAAAAGACCGCCATCCAGTGAGGACAAACCACTGAATGCAACGTAGAGTCTCCGTTTTACATTCTTCTCCCATTTATTGTCCCTAGTTAAACATATAGAAGCTGCAGAAGATTAAGCATATTGAATAAAGAGACAAATATAGGGATATTGAAGAGAATCTTGAAGAGAATACCTCATCTTCTCAATAAGTTGACGAGCACAAGCCATCATCAAAGGCTGCAAAGGCAACATTATGCTACTTAGATCGTGAAGAATGCCAAGAGATACCTGTACAAGTCTAACATAGAGAATAGAATTATGTAACAGCCATTTATAATTCGATCCAATACCTCATCACGCTTGCCCATAAGGATACTGATATTAAAAGTGGGACCAGTGCCATATCCCTCCTCTTTCCTGCACAGCCACTTTATTGTTTGAACCAAATATTTATTGACTTTGTAGTGCCACCAAAACACTATCTAGTGTTATCCTTGTACAACTCTAAGGTAAAGAAAACACTCTGTAAATGTCTAGATCAGCATATTCAGGATAAGAAAACCATCAAAGATCTCCGAACTGAGTAAAAAACACAAAGCAGAAGCTGCAAAGATCTTAAAGGATTCATTTCTGACATGGCATGGATTGAAGCTGCCCAACATTCTGGAGATATGCTTCGACATTAAAGAAATGGACCTGGCAAGGAGTATGCACCTTGCATGCAGGAGAGTGCCCATTTTCCCGATTTGTGTTACTGCAATCTGCGAACAATACCACGCCAGGTACTCTAATATCAACAAGCTATATCTTTCATAATAGAACATTACTTATGAGGAATCACGAAAGAAGACAAGTTACCTCAAAAGCAAAAGCAAGTATTTGGCTCTGTTGAATTTCACAAAGAAATTCTGTCAAGGGATTTCGACATCAACTATTCATGTAACCTCGGAAATGAACTACGACGCAAATAAGGGTTAACAGGTGATAACCACGTGGACAGCATTTGAACAGCAAACTTCGCACGAAGGATGCGGGTGTGGATCATGTGATGAATATGTGCTCACCATAATATGATCGTCATAACTAAACTGCACGACTTCTGTCTTCAGGCCCTGCACCGTTCCGTCAACACCATAACACAGCATGATTTGAGCTTCAAAACATGTCCCTACACTCGCCACAGCATCATCACTACGCAAGCTCCAATTTCAACAACTAAACACTGGCATGTGCAAAACTAGAGATCAGCATAGGAATCCACTGATCGCCTCGAATTTCAAAACTCATAACCTAAAACCTCTCCACTCATCGCTGCTCACCGTTGCGTGAAAATTCCCAGCTCTCGTTCACATGATCAAACGATCGCCCTCACTCCCAAGACATAAAAAAAAAAAAAAAAAAAAAAAAAAAAACGCAATTAGGTCGATATGAACTACTACAGGGAGGAGCGTCGATGTTGAACCTGAATAGAGGTGACGAACTGCTTGGATTTTACTGGAAATGTCAGAGGGGACGCCATAACCTCTTCCAGAATCGCAAAGAGCTCCTAAAGCACCGAAACAGTGAAAGCAAACCCTGGTCCTGAAGTTGCAGCTTCGACACGACACCAAATTCGACACGAAAACATTCAATAGCTGCGTCGCGACCTCGGGCCTCCGATGGTGACTTCCAGGTGTGCGTCGCGGGGGTAGAAAGCTGATCACGGAGGCTCAGAAACAAATTCTTCGAGGTTCGTTTGGCGATGTCCTGAGACTGAGAGTTCGGTGTTGGCTGGGCGAGGGGCTCTGCACGACGAAACGACTAAGCCGATGTCCTCGTCGCGTTCCCAACGTGCCCACCCGTTCCCTGCGTTGAGAGCATTCCCCCAATTTCCACCCTTCTATTCATTTTCCTTCTACCCACAATTAAAACAAAAAAGAAAATAGATATTATAACCAACGTTGGAAGCCCTTTCTTTGCTACCAAACTTATGGTCCATGTGTATACTAGGGCTGAAAGGAGTAAAAACTGGTTATTAAAATACTATAGATGAAAATTGGTAATTAGAAATGTATGTTATATATAGAGATATGATAAGATTGTGGTCTAATTAACAAGTTTGGTTATAGGCTTGGCTATATGTATAATTGCGTAAAGTTAAGAGTTTTTTTCTTGATACAACACTCATTGGCATATATTTTTACTTTTTACAATAAAACATGAAAGTACTTGGTAAAAAAAACTCAAAGAAAAATATTTTGTTTAATAGTACAAAAAATATAATTAAATTTATCTCATAAAGAATTGGTGTCTAGTACAATAAAATATTCTCATTGTTATTAATTTAATAAAAAATACTAAAGGATATATAATATGTGCATTGTGTACACTTTACAAATAATTCTTATATTAGAGTTATATTTTTGCATTAAAATTCTAATGTATAGTAGTAGAAAATTATTAAAATTTATTGCGTACTAAATAGAAGTATTCATTCAAAAATTTAGCCAAGAAAAGAAACAAATGAAAGGAATCTAAGCAATTTGCTATGTATAGAGATTTAAATAGTATTGGTTCTAAAAATTGGAATGATTGCAATTTAAACTGGTTGTTGATAAACATATGTATTATTATTGATCTTAAGAAGAAAAAAAAATGACTTAAAGTACAATGGTAAGATAATATTTAAAATTGCATGTAGACTTTGAAAAAATTTTAAAGAAAATTATTAATTAAATTCAATAACAAAGAGGTTTGTTAAGACCACTAAAATATTGTAGCCTGAAACTACAATTAAAAATAAAAACTATTACAATATTTAAAAAATAAAAAATTATTACAACATATATGCATCAATTATTTTTTAAAAATTTAATTTGAATATTATAACAAGGATATGATAAGAAATTAGTATTATTATTACTAAATTAAATTTGCATAAGTTCCCAATACTTTGATGATTACTTATTAAAGACTATTAATTTTATGAGGAATAATTATTGATAAAAAAAAAAACACTATATTTTGCAAGTAAATTTTCTTTAGTAAAGTAAAAGGCATGTTTATGCATGCAAGAAGGTTCCATATTGCAAAACTATGTAACAGTAAAACTATTCAACAACAATTCAATCAATCATTTCTATAACTTGGCACATTATAATTCATTAAGCAAGGGTCCTACATGCATAAAGAAATTTGGTAATAGAAATTAATGTAGGAGATTTCTATAAGTTACGTAGGGAAGTGTCTTTCCGAACGACTTAATTGGAGAGGAGCAATGTGGAGTCCGCCGACAGCACTGGCTCTCCGAATGTACTCACTCTCCGAATGTACTCACTCTCACTCATCATTCGGCCGCAATGTATATAAAAAAAAAAAAAAAAAAAAAAAAAAAAACATTTTCGCGATTCGGTGGTCGTGGAAGGTCACTCACATCCCCCAGCAACAAACAAAGTGTTCTTCGATTCAATGGAGAATGGTAACGGGAATGGATCAATGACCTGCCCCATTCTCTCTCTCTGACATCCCCCCCCCCCTCTGGGCTTTTCATCACTGCCGCGAGGGGTCGGAGATATGTTTGCATCCGAAACGCCGCGGTTTGTTTTCATCCCTCGGAAGACTGTTGATGGGATCCCACCATCGGAAGGAACTATCTGAAACGAGGGAGGATATCAAGGTCGGGAGGAACATCGGCGGAGAGAACGAGGCCGCATGTCTGTGTCGGAGAAGATGTGTCTGGGCCAAAGGGGTCGCCATTCAAATCGCCATTCGATAATCCACCCAGGGTTCGATTGGGAGACGATGGGTTCCACCACAGTGACCTGTCGGAGACGGTGGAATCTCTCAAAGGAAGAGAAGAAAATCAAGGGCGAAACGAACATATGGTGATGGCGGCAGAGGGGGTGATGACTGTGTCGGAGAAGATGCAATCCTGGGGCTGTCAGAAAATCAAGTTTGTGATGAAGATGCAATCTGACGCTTCGTAGTTACGAGCTCCAGGTTGTGACGAAGATGAGGGGAAGAGCGCGGTGAGGCTCGCTTGAATGCCTAGTTGTGGAGACAAGGGATACCCAAGACCAAGCGGAGCTGGCATCCATGGCTGGTGAGTCTTTTTTGAAGGTTTGCACGTTAGGGTTTGCATCGCAGTTGGCCCCTACCTCAAGAGTGGCGTGCGCTTTAGATTTTTTTTCATATCCTCTGGGGTTCTCCTCTCTCCGGGCCGTTTCTCTTGTGGTGCGAGCGCCGATTTGGTGGAATTTGAGTTTAGAAGGAGAGTGAAGCAAGGATGACGGGGAAGGCGAAGCCGAAGAAACACACGGCCAAGGAGATTCAAGCCAAGATTGATGCAGCGACGACAAACCGCGGCGGAGGCAAGGCGGGAGTAGTGGACCGGAAGGGGCTTGATAAGGGCGGGCACGCGAAGTTGGCTTGTCCCGTGTGCAAGGCGACGGCACCCGACATGAAGAGCATGCAAATCCACCACGACGCCAAGCATCCCAAGCTGCCTTGGGAAGAGGACAAGCTGATCAACTTGCACGCGTCGACGTCGGTTGCAGCGGAGGAGAAGCCCAAGCCCGGCGTGCGCGGAAGCTTGAAGAAGTGAGACTGTTGCCAAGGTGCATGCGATGTAACGGAATTGTAGGACTGGTATTGTGTTACGAACATGTATGACGAGGCATAGTATTGGAGAGGAAAGCAATGGCAGTAACCTCGTAATGCTAATCTGGCGGTCCAGTGTTGAGACTAGGGTTTGGCCTGCGTCGCTTCAGTTGTGACGCTCCGCCAATGCTTCTCATAAAATACGCGATCGATGCTCTAGAGAAGCCACGAGCAATCTACGCAGCCCCTAGGAGTTAAGCACCCTTGCAATTTAGAACATGTGTGCAGTTTGCGGCGATGCGCCTTTGTGCTATTTATGAATGAATTACCAAGCAAGGGATTTGCGGGTGGCGATGCTTTACAGCTATTTTTCTTGTGTATTAAGCGGCACGGTAGTGTCGGTTGTAGCATAGAGTGATTTCCTCTGCTGTTGAGCTCTACATCATGAAGTTTGTCGTGGTGATCTGCATTGCCTTCTGCAACTGTTGTGGGAGAGAAGGCGGTAGTTTCATTACAAATCACTATGTATGCATGCTTCTACAATCGTGAAATGAAGTAGCCTTTTATCTTCGTGGTTGTCAATTGAGTGGGATCTGTGTTGTTGGTGAGTATCTGTTGTCTTATTGAAACCACTCGTCGTGAAGAAATGCAGAACACGGCACATAGCGCTATTTCGGTCATAAGTACAATTGGTTGATGTGGCGCTAGAATTCGTGCCAGACTTCGAAGTAATCGAATAGCCGGCTGTTGAGCGTGTGTAGCTGATATTCTGCATTTCGTCGTCTTGGAGGCGGTCATCCACATGACTCGGTCTAGCCTTTTCCAGAACGTATCGTTTCGAAAGACGAGACACCAAGTTCTACAGCGTTTGGAGCTGGTCGTCGTAAAGCAAGAGGTCTTTGTGGAAAAGTTCGCAGGCAGGATGTACACTAGACCAGCTATTAGGGGGAGATAATCCGACCCCAAGCAGAAGAATTGATACACTGTCACTAACTGATAGGAATGCAGCCTGATTCACGACGTGTCGCATCCAGTTTCTACAACTAGCTGCCGCGGTTGCAATGATACAGCCGTCATTACAAATTTGTTAACGTCGCAAACTGATGATTACCCCCTCGTACCCATTATATTCCGTAAGTTTCAGGAGCAACAAGAGAAACTGTCATGTTACAGTGATGGTGTAAAGTGGTAGGGAATGGAAGAAATGGGTCGCATGTCGGCAGAATTGAATGACCTTAAGAGTCTTGATGCAGTCGTTCTTAGGGGACATTTCTCTCTAGTATAAAAACAAAAAACAAAATCCTCTACGACATCGACCTAAATGATTTCAATTCTAATGCAAGGCTCGTTACTCAATGAAGTTACAAACGCTTGCACCTCACCATGTTGCTGATAAAAAAAGAAAATTGACAGACCGGTCGAGCAATGCCATCTCCTGCTTTGCAGCATTCAGATAATCGTTACTCCATAAATCCACGACTATACACTTTCCAACGACGTGTAGCTTTGTTTCATTCATCATTGCAAGCTGAGTGACCGTCTATGCGCACAGTAGCATTGTCTCGGTGAACCGGTTAAAAAGGATGGAAACGATGTTGAGAAGCCGCTTCTCGTTTCAATCATTGATATAGAACTCAAGTTAACACTTAAATCACAGGCGGTTGAAATCTCTCTAGAATTTCTTTGGTATCCATTGTATCATCTCTACTGTACAATTCCTGTAAGTCTACCATGCCAATGTTCTACACTACTGTATAAGAGCAATACCACGCTTCACTGATGAACTAAAACAGATTCTGAAGAGTAAAGCTTCAAGCCATAGGGCGGACTCCTCGTGCTAACTGCGCAAGCTCCAGGAGCTGGCTTGGAACCTGCAAAGATAAGAAAAATCATTCCTTCGACATCAAATTCATGACGAGCATGAAAACAGTCAATCAAAACAGGCGAAAGAGAGAGAATAATGACATCAGCAGCAAGGGAAAATGAGAGATAAATGAAATGAAGGGGAAACCGATTGCAATCAAGATGATTCACCTGTTGAAGGAGCACATCTACTTTGCTGCGAGCTAGCTTAAGCGACTTGAGCGAGCCTTCCACGTTTACTCTAGAAATGGTTTGGTTCTCGATCAAGCTGCCGGGCGAGGACACCATGCTTTGGGAGCACATATCCTCTTCCACCAGGGCCAACCCTTGCAGCAGCTGTTCGGAGAAGTCTTCGTTAAGCTCCAGCTCTTCAACTAGTCTCGGTAAGTTAATCTTCAGGCGATTGTACACGAGAGTGAGGGCCCTGAACACAAAGTCCATACAGAAAGTCGTGAAATTCCATTCCGCACGGTTTCGCTATGTGTCGTTGAAATTGAACACATAGCTGTAAGGTGAAGGAAATTCCCGATTGTGACACTAAGAGTATGCACGGGGAGATAGGGAGTGGTATGGGGCTTTACTTAAGCCGAGTCTTGCATTCGGAGGATGGTCCGAACTTTGACTTTGCTTGGAGAAGAAACGTTGAGAGCGCAGGAATCATGTCACGTGCGTCCAAAACAGCCACCACTGCCATTTCAACTGGATCCTCCGTAGCATCGGCTGCGCTTGCCGTCTGTCTGCCCTACACGAAACATGGTGCACAGTCACTACGGACCCCCTGGTTCCGCATACTTCTGTACCAAGCAGATACACCAGACATCGTTCAGAGCGTGGGAAGATATCAACAGGTGCTGGAGCGATGGTGCATATTAGGTCATTTTTGGAAGCAAACTAGGTCAGGAATGGTCATGATCAATTCATACCAAAGGTAGAGAGTATTTGAACAGCAGCGGGGACACCAGGCCGGCCAACACTCGCCTACGCCCGCAATTCATCTCCCTTCGCTTCCGACAAGACAACCCGGTGTTGTCCACATCTTCTGTCGTCCACTTCTTGCTGACCGCGGCTTCTTCACGAGGTCTTGGTGCGCGAGCTGCGCACCTCACTCTGAAGATTAAATCGGAGGGAACTGCTCTGTGCGAAGGCTTGAAGTTCAGAACGGCTCCATGCCGTACTTGCAAGGTGGGGCTCATCCTCTCCATATTCGCCTGTTCTAATTACACTGTACAAACAAAGAATTGATCAAACTCTGTTGTCAATCGTCTTTCAAGCTGCCATGTCATTACTCCTCGCCGCCGCGACAACCATGCCGAGAAGAAGATGCAGAGCTCCACACCTCAAACTCAACAGTCGCCCACGACGTGATGGTTAGAAAGAATTGGGCGTCTGCTGCAAGTGAGGAATCTAGAGGCACAGCGACTTGAATCTGCTGACGCAAATTCACACAGCGAGAGTGAGAACAGATTCAAATTCCACATGCGCACAGAAGGAAAAAGTATACACAGGTGGACGGCTATGGCGGAATGTGCCAAACCAGACGCAAACCTGGCGAACACATGACTTGCAGATGGCCCAAAGCTTTATATCAAAAAGCTAAGATCCTTCCTTGTTGCGTGTACGAGATCGGAACCAAGTAAAAGTTGCCGGAGATGTTCAGAGGGTGGATCCACGGTCTGACGACAACTTCTGTTCTACGATCACGATCAACTTCAATAAAAAAAAGAAGCTCTTCCCTCCGATCGATCGACTTGCGGTCATTCTGACTCCTCCTCACCAGAAGACCGAACGCTGATTTCGATCCATGACTCTGGTAAGGAGCAGAACAAAAAAGAACGGGACGATGAGAGAGTGCAAGGCGAAGCCAGCCTGGTCGATGGAGCCAGACTTCTGTTGCTGCAGAAACGAGATTCATGTCGGAGTAAATGTGGATGCAAGCAAACTAGGGTGATGGAGACGAGACAAGACAAGACGAGAGGAGAGGAGGCGAGGGAGGGAGAAAGAGGGATGGATGGATGAAGGTGTTGGATGAATGAAATGTTTCATCCTCGGAGAAATGGCTCCTTTGCCATCCATCCCCCCTCTTTCCCCTTCAAGTTGCATTTCTCATGAATGTTCTCTTTTCTTCTTTTGTGTTACACTTACTTTTACTTTTACTTTTCGTAAATGAGGAGTTTATAAGTTTGTAATGAGTTGGTTGAGGTTGTGTTCTTGTAATGCAAGCTATACTAGTCATAAGTGATTCTATAGATGATAATAATAATAATGTTAGCTAGTGTGGGATTTCAAAACTATTCTCTTATATTTCAATCAAAATGTGATGGATGTTTGTAAGAAAAAAACATTCTATTTTTTTCTTTCTTCAATTGGTTTTTTTAATGATTTTTAAGCATGTAATTTTAATGAATATAATTAAAAAATAATCTCTGTAAAAGAAATTTAAAAAGCTAACAATAAAAAAATATATAACAAATAGTTACAAACTTTAAATTAATTATAAAAAAAATTGCAACCAAAATTGAGAATTCTATTTTTTTACTTTTTACAAAAAAGAAGAAATGTAGAGATTTATAAGATGGAAAAAAACCCACATATCTATATATAGATATAAGTATCATTATTAATGAAATTCTATGCATTTTTATAATTTACAATGTCAATATTAAAATTATTAGAATTGCATTCGATTGTAATCATGATTATAATAAAAAAAAAATTACTCATATTTGATATGAATATAAAAGATAAAATTATATATATATATATATATATATATATATTCACACAAGTCTATATCAATATTTGTAACTTTTATGTATATTCACATAAATTACTATGTATTTAGTTCGTAAGTGAGCAATTAACACCATATTACTACTACCTTATCAACCAATAGTTGGTAGTATTACCAAATATATCATGTAGATTAACAAAATAAGACTTCTAGCAATAGAATAATTGTTGGTTTTTATTGCACTAAAAAGTTCTCATTATTAAATTGTAGACTTATTTTTATTAAAAAACATATATATATATATATATATATATATATATTTTGGGAATTTTTTTTAATCTTATTTAATGACTTAGTTTTTAAACCTTCTAAGAAAATTAAAATAATTAGCTTTAAAGATATTTTAATAATAATAATAATAATATTTGATTCTTCATTCAAAATTAACGATCCAATTAGTTATCAACTATCTACTTTTAAAATCATTCTTGTTGCATTCTAACAAAGTGACAATATATATATATATATATATATATATATCAATATTTCCTTGGTTGATTCCCATTCTTATGCTTCCGAACAAGTATTTGTTCTTCGAATCGAACGCGGCAGCTGAAGACACACCATCAACTTTCAGCTGCTCAAGTCCATTTGTTTACAATAGCAATTGCATGAATTTCAGTGAAAATGAATCCTGTTGCAACGTTAGCGATGAGTTGTGATATTGTACACAAATCCAAAGCAGAAACCAACTAGATGAAGATGGATCTGCTACTTCTGCACTCACACTGAAGTAGCATTGCTTGCTGCCAGGCCGAGAATCACTCACCACGAGAGTAAGAGATTGCTCCCTCGATCCCATCTGATTGAATCCCTACTGGAACTGATGCACTTCTGTCTGAAAAAACAGTGAAATCATCAATTCCATCAGCTGTTTATGAGTCAATCTCTGCAGCATGGACTCTAATAGTGGAAGCTGACCAACTGAAGCAGAAGAAGAAGAAGGCGAAGAAGAAGAATCCCTCTGGACCGACCGAAGCTTGCAATCCAGCATTCGCAGTCGGTGTTTAAATGAAGTTTCATCTGTAATCTCTCTCTCTCTTTCACGTTCGGTTACTTCAAGACAAGGTGAACCCTAGGACTTTCTAGCAACGCGACAGCTTACGCATATGATATTTTTGTGCAGCTGATGCGACCAGAGAGTACCGAAGACAGTTTCGGGGACGGATTCATGGTTCTCTTCATGAGTACATGGAATCCAGTGACACTGCCAGGCATCTTATTTGGAGTAAAGATACAAATCTTGCGGCTCAGGAGAGATATTCAGAAGAGTGGACCTGATCAGTGCTTGTGCTTTGAGAAGGTAGACGCAAGAAAGCTAGGTAAGCAGACACTTCGTGCATCGTGGCATCGAAGTGCAACTTTTAGCTCGAATAGCAGCGCAAATTTAACGAACTTGACCCAGTGTTTATGACAGCAGCGTCGCTGGCGCTTCAGGACCATGATTGTGACGATCACAAGCTCTCGATCTAACGAAAATCAAATGCATACGGCGTTGTGAACTCCCAGTTTTCTCTCAGAAGCTCAGAAGCCTTTCCATGATTTCTCTGCAATGCAAGTCACGGTTTCATGAGGAAAATTGAATCGTATACCGCAGATGGTCATTAATTGCTGCACTGTGAGTTTAGCAGAATGCTGGGTCATCTAAATGAAGGAAACCGGATTCCGAAAATCGATCAGTGAAGCAAAATCTAAAAAAGTTCGGGAAGTCGTTACCATGCAACTCGAAACAACACTCAGGCGTGTCAGGTTGGTGTTAGTCGAGTAGGGTTTAGGGTCATAGGAGAAGGAAAGCACAAAAATTCGATGTGGGTGAGGATGTTGTTTTATGTCATGTTGTTATCTTATAATTCTCTTTAAAATAATGATCACAAAGCACCAATATATATATATATATATATATATATATATATTTTTTATTGGCATTTTGTGTTACTAACCTAAACCTAAGATACTTTCGTGTGAGTACAACCGTTGTGCTGATTAACATGTAAGAAGAAGTAAATATCAAAACAACCCCATTGTTGCATGCATTATTTCATAACTTCTTAAACACCATTTTTGTTCATTACAAATATCTATATTCTGTAAACATCTTATCCTCTAAATGCTCCTCAAAGTGAATATCACAATTGCTATTTCTATTTATCAAAGAATAAAAGAAAATACCAAGGCTTCCAATCAAATTGATAATTACTTTGTGAAATATTGTAGCACATTATAAAATCAATCAACTTTCTTCTAACCTTTGGTTTAATGTAAGTCTTAAAAAAATTGATCTCTAAAATTGTATTAATTTTATCCATGCTATTCAAAAATTTATCCTTTTTTCCCCCAATGGTTTAAACATTTTCTACAAGACAACATTCACCAAACATATACTAAATTCTATAATAATATACAAGTTTAAAGATTATATAATTACATATAAGAAAGCCTATAATACAAGTTTACAATATATATAAAAAAATTAAACTTAATTATATAATTATATAAAAAAATTAAACTTAATTATATAATTATATAAAAATTTAAACAATTTTATACTTTTTGATTTAAAATAATATTTCTTAGAGCAAATTTTTTAACAACCAATACAATTATATACAAGTTTTGTTGCAATAAGTACATATTTGTACAGTTGACAAAATATTAATTTACCTTTGATATTATTTGACATCACAAAAACACTTGCAATAAAAAATTCAACAGTTTAAAATTCAAATTTAATTGTGATTTAAACATTTTAAAAAACAACTCTATTGTAATAGTCTTAAATTCATCATCCAAAACTTATTAGTAATATAAGGTTATAATACAAAAATTAAAATTAAATTCACAAATAAAATTAAAACATTTTTAAAAAATAAAGCACAATATCTATATCAAAAATATTCTATTATTGATTGATTTATTTATATTTTAAAACCAATCTAAGAGATTTGATCTTAAAGTCTTCTTTTCATCATTGCATAATATATTTCTACATCTTACATTATTCCAACATATCCAACCCATCTCCTTTCATTAAATCCAACTTATTTATAACCAGGAATTATCTCAAGTTTTTAAATACCATGTAGTATTCATAAAATTGCCTCCAAACTCTTTCTTACCAACACATTGCATTTGTTTACGTTTTATTTATTTATTTGTTTATTTTAAACATTGATTTATGCATAGTAGTGGTTCAATGAAGAAGATGGGCAGCCAGCTTGCTTGTCTTGTCTGTCTGCAGAAAAAACCCTAATTTGACGAAACCCTAATCTGCGCTGCAGCAAAGCGTTGCGCCATCTCGTGCAGCGAAATCCCTTCCTCCTCCTCAAGCTTCGGCGCTGCTCTCGTCTCATCGTGTCCTTCACAGGTTGCTGTGGCCATGTGCAACGCAATCTCGTCAAAGCCCACAATCCTCACATTTACATACATTGCAGAGAATTATTGCCAAAATTTGAAGTGGCTCTGTGATGAAGAAATGCGTACATTCGTATCGCCTTCTCTTCTCGAGCTCGCGCTTCGCGGCGTTGCAATAATCCTTGCCTTCTGTTGCAAATGCTGAAAGCAGTTCCAGTTGAATCCTGCTCAACCCCCACGGAAAATTCCTTGAAGCCCTCTCACTCTCACCGAAGCTTAGTTACAATTTCGGATTATTCTCAGTTCTTACCCAAGCGCAATCTTCAACTCGCTGCCGGGAGAGCAGTTCCGGAGAAAACACTATCTGCAACGAACGAAGTGATGAACATCCTCAGAAACCCTAATTCAATGCCCGATCCAGGAAAGGATGGATACCCTGTGGTCGACAGCCCAAACTTCCACCGTCAACTTCGAAGATTCGAGCAAGAGATATGCTGCGCGATGTTCCTTCTCGGAAAGCTTACGTGCACGACAGAAGCGGTGCAGACAAATGAAGAATCAGCATCATCCCGCATAAAAGAGATCATCTAATTACACGCGCCATTGATTTCTTCGTTACTGCTTCCTACCATAGGGATCTGGGCCACTTGCCGACTTCGGGGGTCGCTGTCAGGTGAGGTAACATCGATTCCAGATGGGAACTATCTGGCAGATGTTCATTCGTTTGGCTTGAATCTTTAAGCGGTAATTTAATATAGTGAAGAATTCTGGAGATTTGTGTTACCAGCGCTTGCGGGTTTTAGACTAGAGCCCAGATCGAAGTGACTCGGAAACTGAGAAAGCTTGGATTAGTCACTCTTGGGTAGATGCCACCGACTACAGTACAATATGCCGCCAACCGGCAGCTGACTCTTGTATCAAGTCTTACATTAGCTTGTTCGATTATGTTTCAGTTCCACACGATTTGATTGTCAATTTTGGAAGGATTTCAACTGCGCAGCAAGCTCCGGTTGCATTGAAATTGCAGAGGTTTTGGACGTCGAGTTTTTAGAGTTTCTGGGTGCCAAGTCATTCCCGGGGTAGGGTTACAACCGATTCGTTTTCGGTTACTTCATTTCAATTGTGGGTTGTTCGGTTTGGGAATGCTGATTAATGTGTAATGTTCGTGCTTGCCGCTAGTGGTCGTTATTGGAACAGATATAAGCTTACACTTACCCTCGAGGTTTTAGGATAGATTTCTGCGGTTCCTGTTTCCGAAATTTTGGCCCATTTGGGATTTCACTAGAGTTCGATAGCTCATATTTATCCTAATTTTTCTCGTGCAGGGTTGAATTAAGAAGCAAGGGAATTCTATCGAGATGCCTAGCAGGACCAGCACAAAGCTGGTGAACAAAACTGACAAAGTTCTCTACTTCTTCGTGGAGTCCTCGGCTGGGAACTACTCCCTCACAAAGGTGCTTCAGCCGCATTCGGAGACCTCGCATGAGTACGATCCTAATTGCACGTTTGCTAAGCTTCGTATGTTTGATAATAATAGGAGCCCGACCGACATCGCCATCACCACGGATGACATGATCGACCACCAGGAGATCAGCATCTCGGAGAAGGACGGCAGATTTGAGATCAAAATGATGCAATCAGCGTAAGTAATCTTCAAATCCTGCACTTATATGCTTGGTTTGCTTGCTGAGTATCATTTTCGAAAATACGAAAAAAAAAAAAAAAAAAAAAATGAAGAAGGATCAAAAAAGAGAGCATATTGTTTCAATTTGATGCTATGAGGTGTGGAGTTCAGAATTTCTAGAAGTTCACCACGGTTGTGGTTTAGTTCTTTCATACGGCGAAAGAATTCATTCATGTTCAAGTCTCTCTGCAAGTCTCTCGCTAGAGTCATCCATTTGCGGCTTACTGACGTCCTTTCACGTTTTTGAAAGTTGGTATGAGTAGTCACTAGAGACATGGAATTTTACATTGATACCACAACCAAGAGACACCAGATGAGCTTAAATGAAAGTGACTAGTTCACCACATAAAAGTAAAAATAAATAGTCCTTCAAAGAAACGTCGTTTCTGTTATCATTGTTTGTTTGTTTGTTTTTCAAAGCTCGGTGGCTAATGAAACATAAACGTATGAATCGATGCAGATCAGGAGAGACTTCAACAGTCGTGACCGACAACACTCCGGGCTCCTGGTTCTCTAGTTTCATTTTGAGATTATCCAGGAGGAGGTCATCATAGAGCATGAAACAACAACTTCAAAGCCTTTCTTTGGATGTTGCTAATCCGTGTTCTGATTTCGCTCTTGTCAGATATCTGAAGCTTTTCAAGTTCACTACACGTTTTCATTTTCTTCATTTTTGTTTCTTTGTTTATATGTGTATGATACGAACATATTTTGAGCGATTTATAATTATGTTTATATAAAGCTACAAAATCGGTTGTATGTACATGAGTACATCCACAATGTTTTTGGTTTTTATTTGCTTTTTCTAAAATAAAAAAGGTTGAGGTGAATGTAATAAGGTTGATTATGTAAGATGATGAGGAATATTGAATCAAATTTTTTGAATCAAAATTTTCTAAATAATGTAACTTAAATTTTTATTAACATTAATGACAAGCATTATACAAAATATTTATTAAATCTAATGATCAGAATTGGAAATTACTATCTAAAGATATTTCATATAAAACAAATTTGTACTAATTAAAGTATTCTTAGCTATCATGATTTTAAAAACAAGTATGTTTGCTATTAGTTATGGCATACAATTATACTATTGAATTGTTTCCACTAATACTTGTATTTTCTCCTGTATTTATACTTTAACAATTATTTAATACTATTATATTTTCTATATAAGTATTTTTGTATTTATATTATTATAAATGGGATTAATAAAGTAAAAACCTGTAGATAGATAATCTACAATCTTTGAGATATTATTATAATCTGAAAAAGGATAAATACTATATTTAATTATATTAATTATCAAACATAGATATTGTTGTTCTTAATTGTGCCCCACTATTTCAAATAGAGTTCAAAACAACAATGCAAGTGAATAGTTCTATGCATAAAGATAAAGAAATGATAGCAAAAAATAATAAAGTGAAAATAAATTAAGATATTAAAAAAACTACAGTATAATATAATAAAATCTAAAAAGATTCAAGACACTAAAGATATGTTGGATTTTTACAGTTTATAAATATATACATGGTTTCTACAGTATTATTAACTTATTTATTTATTTAAACTAATTTACATGTGCAACATCACATTCTCTCTCAATGAAGAATACTAAATTAGTAATAATAATAATATGCCCATGAAAAGAGATCGATACAAAGATATATCAGTCAACTTTCATGCTAAATGAAGAGCACTACGTAGCTGAAACCAATGCTTTAGAAGTAGATGAATGTGATAGAACGCAACGACCTTGTTGGACCTTTCGCTTGTCTTAAATGTATCATCTGTCTATTTTCTTCCAGGCTGCATAAGCTCTTGATGGGACAGAGCTGCAATGTTGTCAGGGAGAGAAATCCCAAATCATTAAAACACTAATTACAGATGCAGTGTAGTCCAACATGTGCGAGGGACAAGATTGCAACGCAGAGCATCACGTGAAAGATGTAGATAATTTCGTGTGAAACTTCATTGAAGTAAAGCACAACAGAAGCTTCGGGAACTACAAATAATCTAATTTCGGTAATCAATCTCTACAGTATCTGCTTCTGACAAGAGAAGCATGATAGGAAGAAATGCAACGCATGAAGCCTAGGAGATAACCAACTTGAGGCCACACAGACATCCGCATCCTGGGCAGACCCAGCATGTGAGTCTTTGTCGAGGGATTCTTGCCTGTTCCCTATCAAACTTGTGTACGTTCTTCTTTTTGCGACATACGAATTACGCTCCGTGATCTGCAGGTGTAATTTTTGCGTGTTAGGGACTGTGAAGACCTTTCAAAGAAAACCACAAATCTAAAGGGGATATCATCGGTTGTTTCTTTACATACCATAAATTGTTTCTTCTCAGTCAGCAATTTGTTGAATTCAGGATTAATTTTGCCTTCTTCCACTTTTATCTCTACATCGAATTCCTTGATGCGACTGCAGAATCCAGATCACCAGCTAGCCTCAGAAGCTGTTAGTGCCAAATAGACTTGTGAGACATCTTCATGACCCCCATCAACATGATAGTAATCAAATAAAGTGCAAACTTACTTCAAACAAAACGACACCCCAACAATTTTCTATTTTCTATTTTCCTACCTTTTTGTAGACTACACCAATGCATCTGTTGACAGCATTAATGAGCAATTCACAAATTCTGCAGCCTTACCAATGGTAAAATCTACTGTAACAATGCTTACAATAATGAGGACTAAGGTGACAAACAGATCGAATGTTGCTTCTGGTTAAAAGAAAGTGTCCACCTTTTCGCCCCCCTCATCCTCGCAGACAGCTCCTCCAGATGCTTGCTCTGCCTTCCTGCATCTTTGATTTTGTCTATTCTTTGAAATCCGGTTCTGTCACATGAATTCAAGTTTATGAAACCATGAAAATTATTTATTTATTTATTTATTTTAGTAATGGAACATATATTGACGTCCAATACTAATCCAGCCACATTAAGACGCAATTAAAGTCAAACACATCATTTCAACACAGATGAAACTTGCAATGCCACACGCAAAACTAAATTGAACCAAGAAGCGCTGAATCGCACACTAATAGCCAGGGAGGGAAAATGCCATCCTCATACATGCCAATCCCAGAATGCACTTGTGAGAATGGCACTTGTGATTGAAAATGAAGAATGCAGCACTTATCTGGCAGCTAATAAGTGTACTTCTCATAATCCACGAAAGAGGAAATTTGGGATTGTCATAGGCAACTACAACAGGACAAGGAGGGACTTACGCAAGGAACTTGAAGATGCCTTGCACTTCCTTCTCGATGCTGGCCAACTGAGGTGGTATTCCCAAAGCCATTGATGCGTCGTATGCAACAAACCAGCCACAATCCTCTGCCTTCAAACTATGTTTTCCGTTTCGAGAATGTTACCGATTAACGTAATCCGATCATATTTCACATGCTTATTCCCTCACCCCGTCAAGAAGTCCTCCAGTTCATTTCTGTTTCATTGAAGAAACGGGATCTCCCGTTGTTGCGCAATGTGACAATAAGCCGGCACTCTGCCAAAATTTGGCACGTTTCCCTAAGAATACCTTAGCCTTCCTACTCAAGACTCTAGGGACTTAGTCCCAGCCTCAAAAAAAAAAAAAAAAAAAAAAAAAAATCCTACCAGCCAAGCTCACTATCTAATCTGCCTCATTGATCTCAAGGAAATTAAACACATACTCTTCTGCAGCGTAACGCCTGTCCTCCAAACTCACAATCACACGTACAAATTTTTCCCAATAAAAAAACAACAATAACGCTGAGTACAACCTATCAACCTCTAATCTCGTTCAATACTGACAAACCGAGGCTGCAGCTGGAGAAAAAAAAAAGCGTGAAACTATCGACCATAGGAAGCGTAAGTGGCGAAAATGCATACGTTTTCAAGAGGAAGAAGAGAGGGACTCAACCTTACAATCGCTAATGGCACATTCTTCCGAGAACTTCAACACAACAGCCTTGAACGCAACCTATTCAGCTCAAACAGACAAACCAAAGGCCGCAACCCGAGAAAGGGAATTGAAACTGACGATATACGCGGATTCAGACGACGAAAAACATACATTGGAAAGAGAAGGAGGCGAGGAATATAGTAAAACCCACGGTACTACGAATTGAAGGAGAAAATACAAGCGCGAGGCGATCGAAAAGAAACGCCATCTCGCTCTCGCTGTGTGAGAAAGGAGCGAGAGCGAGAGCATGGACGGGGCTGGGAGACCGGCGATCATACGTGGCAGTCGAGGTCTACGTGGCCCATCCATGTTTACGTGGAATGTCCAGGTCATGCGCCGACGTGGCCCTCGTGCTCACAAGATTCTGTGCTCGTGCCACTTTAAGGCGCTTCTATTTGGAGGTCATACCCATTAATTGACAACCCTAAAACAAGGCCATTTTACAATATTTACATACTCGGAGATCTTTCTCTTTTGACATTATGTTGAAATTGTTGTACCCCTCTTTGAAGGACATCTGATGGGCATTGATTGTACACAATTGAACTTTATTGTTTTTGCTGAATCTAGAATACTATTTTTTTCTTTTTTATTTCTTTTTTAATTTTTTGTTTATTGTTTTTTGTTTTAATGTATACGAGTTCATAATTGATTTGTTGAATGAAGAAGTCTTCTTACAACAGTACATGATGCAAAACATATTATGATTAAAAACCAAATGTATGAAATCTATTAATGGAATGTATGTTGTATTAATGTTGTGGAGGCCATATTTTATTTTATTTTATTTATTTCTATTAATTTTATTTTATAATTTTTTAAGATTTCAACTCTTTTTGTATTCTAACATGATCATTTTCATCTCTACAACTCTTTTAATTCATCTTGTGAGTTCTTGTAGCGCTTCATTTCTTCAATGCAAAATGGGATAATTTTTTTTATTAAACTATAACTATAACTATAACTATATATATATATATATATATATATATATATATAATTTTTAGAATCATCTCTAACTTTTTAAAGATTCTAAAATGTATGAATTGAATACAAATTGTTATTAAGTTCAAACATCAATCTTATCTTATTTTTAATATCAAAGTTTTAATTTTGATAAAATTTATTTTTTAAAAGAAACTAATTTGTAGCTATTAATATAAAGTAGTTGACAATTCAACCAAAAAATATATAACTAGAATAAAAAAAAATTCTTTGAATTCAAAAAATATAGAATTCAAAGAAAATAATCAAATAATCTCTGATATATTATAATAGTCAAATACATTACTTAATAGTTTTTTTTTGTGCTACCATATAGATTTTTCAAACCATTACTACTTCAAGTAAAAAAAAACTTTTATTGCATGGCAAAAATATGTATTAAATTTGGTTGTATTATAGTGCAGCAACAATTAAAAGGATGTATAGCTTTTACTATTTCAAACTATAACAACAGTTATTGTGTTTAGTTTTTATAGGCATTACTTTGTACAGATTGATTCAAGGAGCCTAAAAGACAACCCTACAAGTGGCAAAGGGCAAAATGTTTCATAGCAAAATTGTTAAAAATAAGTTTGAGGAATTAATTGTAAACTTATTTCTCTTGTTGATTTCTAATATATTATAAGTCTGATTGTCAATGTCTAAAATTAATATATGATTTGATGTTGTCATATCATTTTTATTTGATTAAATAGCATATGTTAGAAACTAAATATTTTCAAGATGCTAATCTAGATTAAAGTAGTTTTATATAAATTTTTCACCAAAATAAAACAATGCACAAATCTAATATTTACAGAATACATCCATTCTTGTTGTAAAGTCATTTTAGCAAATTATTGGATTGACTTAAGGTTGAATACTTATAAGGAGTTATTTCTTGTTTACTTTTTGATAGACAAATATTGAAATGTGCATCAAAAGATTCCCATGAAATATTTTCGAGGTACAATGAAATATTAGTTTAAACATCTATAACACATTTTATGTGAAAAATTGAAGTGATATGTAAATAGTCAATTATTTTAATAAATATACAACCAATAATGAGATAGTTCTATTGCTAGGTAAATACCTTTACAAATACTAAAAAGATAATTGCTATCTATTTGATGTAGATATCAAACATATTTGGGAAAAAATGAGTAGGTATTTATTGAGATAAATGAGATTCATACAAGGTTTATGGTTGGAGATTGTATGAGCAACAACATATATCTTATAATTTTTTTATTGTAAAATCATCAGGACATGTTTTGGTGTAATTGTCGTTGCTAATATTTGCAATATTTTGGCTCATTGGTCCAATTGAGACAATGAGCAATTAATTGCCTAACAAAAAATTAAACAAAAGCTGATTGCAAATATTTTTACAAATTTTATTTAACAATTTAGAATAGGCATCTATAGAATCTAAAAAGTCATCCTACCAACTGTGCATCATTATTCTAATGGTATAAAAAAAGAAGAGACATATTATATGTTTTGTATAAGTTGTCATAATTTCAATTGAAGGTAATCTTTATGCCTCTATTTGTTAATTGGATAGCCTTGTTCAATTGCAAAAGTGATTTTAATTTACATTATTTCTTCACAGGAATTGAAAGATGTTTTAAGGAGTATAAGGATGTTGACCTATTAATATCACCATTAAGATGTTCAATTAGTGTATAAATATACAAGTATAATAAACTTCAATTAAGACTTTTTTTTTTTTTTTTTTTTTTTTTTTTACAAGATTAATAATATGTGAAACAAGCATAAATTGTTATCAAGTTCTATTATAAATCTTATTTTATTTATAATTAACTTGATCATTTGTTCCACATTTTTGTTAGATTTGTGTTTTTTTTCTTAATTTTTTTTAAAAAATATGTACAACATTTATTTATTTATTTTTGGAAAATACAACATAATTTGAATTACAATCTACAAAAGAGACAGATTTCGAACCAAAATATAGAACTCATGTTTATCTATGAGTTTCTTAATTTCTACTACTAAAATTTAGTGCCAAATGAGATGTAGTATGCATATGTAGAATTGAGCAGTAAAAATTTGATAAGCAATACTAATAATTTTAAGTGTTATGCTAAGAAATAGCTCTACCATAAAACGGAATTCTATTTAATTCAACTTTGCTAAATGTCATGCGATTTTGCTCATTTCTACTCAACAATGACGTATTCGTAACCATTGAAAATACTTGATTGGGATAGAATTCTTTGCAAAATAAAACGCACGCTACCATGAACAGGAAAGATGATGTTTATGTTGAGAAAAAAAAATTTACAATGTTTACAATTATTAAGTATCATAACGACACAAACTTTTTAAATCCCTGAGTCGGCTTCCATAAAATTCGGAGGTTTCCTTAGACTGCAAAGCAAGGAGAATGAATTCCACTATTAAAGCTCACACATAGTACTGTGGAGACTTTATTCACTGGAGAGCAAAGAATTTATTTTTTAAAAAAGCACTCAAATTCCCAACAAACTGGTCTATCGCTATGTACATAAGAATATGGTAAATTTATAATGCAAAATTATCTTGTAATCTGTCATGATCATTTGCACACAGAACAAGGCAGAGACATGGCTACAAAAAAACACTAAGGAAACCTTTCACACGTGGAAGAAGAAAAGTTGTGGAGAAATTGGATGTTCAATGCAGGAAAATGCTCAGGCCTCAAGCGGGTACAGCATAACTAGGCTCAGTCCAGTGTGGAGGATCTGCAATGATGCATGGATCATCCTTTCGGAACTCCGCCACCTGTAAGATTAACAAAATTGCTCTAAGAGTTTGTAAATTTTGGTGCAAGAAACCACACGATCCTGCTATATATGAGCAAACTGAACGCAATGAAAATGAATCAGACGCTTGAACATCACCAGGTATCTTACCTTCTGACCGCAACCGTTGCAGTAGTGTTGTTTGTGCCACAAGCAGTCACAGGAACGGGTGAGGAAGCAGAACCCACATACGGTCGTCAGGCATGCAATCCAAGCTGCAAGGCTGAGCGATGACCTGCGACGAGAAAACACCACTTTCTTCAACAAAATCGCCACCACTGCAGTAAGAGGTTAAGAGGCTACGAGCAAGCCATGTGGAAGAACCAGACATTTACTAATTGCAATTGTGAGGCAACGTCTTCCCAGCTAGAAAGAGTGTCAACGTGCATGGACAGTTCAAACTTATTTAGGGATGGCGAAGGTAAAGTAAGCCGAAGTGAGAGCATAAGGGAATTCAACGTACCTGACATTCGTGAGACCAGGTTTGCCACAGTGAGGGCACTCGAAAGGTGCGGGCGTATCCGCGTAGAAAGTCTCCTGTAACCCCATCCCAGGAGGAGGAGCACCATAGATCGCAATCGGGGGCCGCATGCCCGCCGTGTAAGGATTCGGCTGCGTGTAATACTGAGGTGGCATTTGTGGCTGTGGGGCATTGGTCATTACAGGCGCTGGGTACCCGACTGCCGGACCAGGATACACATACGGTATTCCCAGTTGAGTCTCACCTTGCACACCGCTACCAGTAGATGGACCCAAATTCTCACCATCGCGCTTCGCCATAACTCCCTGTTGCACTTCAAAATCTCAACCCCCTCGAAACCCCTACAGTAACTGGATCCTACCTCGAAATCCTAGCACACACACACAAACACACAAAAGCCCTTGAGCAATCTCTCGTCAAACACGTAAATTTCTCCGCCTCTGTTCTCGAAGACAACCCAATTCTGTCTTCGCAAAATCAATACAACCCTTGTCGAGCTTGTCTCTTTCCCTGTAACCCTAACTGCAGGGCAGCATCGGAAGTCGCAATGTCCGCACTAAGCTCGACCTAGACTATGGTAACTGCCGCTACGCTCTAGAAGCATCACCCTTGAACGCGTCTCACCACCTAGGAAAATCAATCAACGCGATCTGAGTTGGCAGAATGGGCGCAATCCCAGCCTGGAGTCTGAAAATCCTCCTTTCCAAGAAAAAATAACCCCCCACCGATGCAAGTTCTCGAAACATTTACTGTTCAGCATCATCCATCCTCGCTTTCACATCAACGTTGCACCGGTTCCGTGAAGCCCTCCACGACATTACCAGGATCTTCACAATCAAAAAGGCGCTGCGAAATCCTGACTGCCTTTTCTCACCGGCTACCGTTGTGCCCCTAGGACCGCAGCTCGTGGGAATTGGGGACCGCCAGCATTCGAAACCACGGCTCTTGTAACGACTCTGCTCGTGACGAGGACGACGACGACGCTAGAGCTCGAAGGTGGAGACGAACGGGCAAAATAACCCTAATTCTGGAAGCAACTCTTTCTGGAGGGAAGGAGAGGTACTCCATTTTCAACATGGAGATATGGGTGCTCATCGACATATAGCCTTTTTAGGGTTGAGCAAGACATGGTGTTTTGGAGCAAGTGAAATGGTGTGGCTAAAGTTTAGGATATTTGTGATAATTGAATTACATTGGACCTTTAAATAAGGCATCTAATAAGTCTTGTTGTTTGTTAAGACAATTTATAATATTTAATACAAATTGTCACAAAGACATATTTGAATGGACAAGTTACAATTTAAGAGACATGTTATTGTGAATACTCAAGGTTCTTGTGATTGATACAGATTGTAATTGGATAAGAAGCATCATTTAAGGAGTAACATCATTCTTAGAATAATTCTGTAATAACAATAAGTTCTTTATCATGAATATTATAAGTAATCTTGATTGTTGAAATTTTTTAAAAATAAAAATAAATAAAATAAAGTATTTTATTTGTATCTATTTGTAATATAACTACATCTATTATAAAGCCTTCTATATATTTTATTTATAAAAAAATAATCAAAAAATAATATAAAATAGGAGCTAAAGTGAAGGTTGTTTTCAAATCTTAAAATATTGCTTATGCATCTTGATTATATTCCAAGTTGTTTTTAGAACTTAATTGTATAAATGAGACAATGTTTTTAATTTTTAAAAATAAATACTAAATAATAAAATCTAAATTCTAAAAAATATTGGATATCTTATATAATTCTAGAAGTTGTCTTATCTATGATAATTTATATTTTTTAGAATCTATTTATAAATTATTGTTTAATATAAAATATTCTAAATATTCTACTTATGTTATGTAATATATATATATATATATATATATATATATATATTTATCTTAGCAAATATTCTTATGTCAAGGACATGAATCTTAAAAAAAGAAAATCCTCAATATACTCTTGTATGACTAAAAAGAATTAGAGATTCACTCAAAGATGATATAATATTGAACTAGAATGGCTATTACTAAAAACAAGAAAACTAAAAAGTCTTGAAACAAGACTAAGGACTAAAAAGGTGTTGACAAGAGTGAAGAAGGCTTCACTCTTGCTTCCATATATACTTTCTAACTAGGAGCTATGTGACAATATTTTATGGGACCTCCAACATGTGTTGACTTTGTTAGCCACATGTCTTAACTTGCAAGGCAAGTTATCTATATATGCGCCACATAATTAACTTGTTCCACAAGCTACCAACACGTGGTTAACTTGTTGGCCAAGTTTCTAATCTACAAACACATCTAAAGTAAAAATTGCGTCTATGAAGCTTCTAGGAAGCTTTTCTAAAAGAATTTATGAAATTAATCTATATTTACCTACTTCTATCTAATCATATAAGTAACAATTGGAATAAATGTATATATCCGTGACACCTTATATCTCTAAGTGTTTGCAATAGGAGGTAAACATATTGTTTATATTTCTTCATATTCTTAGAGTATATAAGATAGTTTTTTAAATAACACATAATAAAATTATCTTAAATTTTATAATATTTATCATCTATTAAATATTAAAAAAAATTGAAGCATTTGTAAGTCTAAAAGATATGACATTATATTCAAAATGAAAATATTTAGTTTGAAATGTAAACTTTTATTAATCATTTTGTTTAACATATACTAAATTGTATGTTGCTTATAGTTTCTTTACTCAATAATTTTGCTAAAATCTATTCTTTACTTTTACCTAAAGGCATGTTACATACATATGCAAGAATCCATATTTTTTTATTTTGTTTGCAAAGATAATTAATATACATGTAATAAATTTTGAGTGTGGAATAAAATTCTTTGTAAGATATCGATTAACATATTCTTTCAAAGTATCATGCTTATTTTGCAACAAATTACAAGTTGGTCCAAATTTTCTTATTTCTAAAAAATTGATTAATTAATTTTTTCAATCAATATCAAGATGAATATTAATATAAAAAATAAAAAAAGAAAAAGTGCCACTAGATTTGAAGGACATTAAATGATATTAAAGATAATAATAAATATTTAATTTTTCATTCTGACTTCTAATGGCTTTATCTTAATTTATAATTTTTTGGATAGAAATACTAAATTATCAATAGTTGTCATATATATATATATATATATATATATATATATATCTTTATTTTAATAATTAATTAAATAATACAAGTATGTAGAAATAGATAGAAGTAAGTAAAAATAGATAAGATTAATAATATCTTATGAAAAATCTTCTTAAAAGCTTCATAGATAGGGCTTTACCTTTATACATACCTATACATAATTAACAAGTTAAAATCTAGGCCAAGAAGTTGGCCACATGTCACAAATATTAGAAACTTGTAGTACAAATTAGCTATGTAGCACATATATAAGAAACTTGTCTTATAAGTTAGGCATGTGACTTACAAGTTGGATATATGCTCAAGATCTTATAAAACATTGTTACATAACTTCAAGTTAGATAATATATATAGAAATAAGAGTAAAGTTTTTTTCACTCTTGTCAATTTTTTTTGAATCTAGTATAATTTCAAGAATTTTTAGTTTTTTAATCTTTAGCAAGAACCATTCTAATTTTTTCTTATATATATATATATATTAATTTAATTTATCACTACAAAAAAAAGTAAGATTGGCAAGAAGAAAAAATATAGAAATAATTAAAGCTAATTCAACATCTTTATCAAGTTATATTACTTCTTTTATAATAGAATACCATTCAATTGTTAATGAACTAAAAGTTACCTTACTTTAGAAGTTTGATGGCACAAAATCAACGTTTTCAAGATTTTTCTATTAAGTATAATTAATGATTAAACTTCAACATCAAGGTTATTTAATTTTAGGATTATAAGTCACGTTTATTATAACACTACTTTCAAGTTTTACTTTATTATAATTTATTATAATTTTTTGAAGGACATGATTTGATATTGGTTAATTTGGAGGTTTTTTTTAGCAAAGTTTTGATCCATATGTAGAAAATATAATATAATTTATATTACTACTAATAAAATTTATAATTTGCAATAAGACAATTGATTAATAAGATTATATGTTTTATAATTTTTAAAACTTTTGAATAACATTAAGTAGAATGATATTGCATTCATTAGCTATTTATTTTTTTTATAAATTATAATATGAGATAAAAAAATTGATATTGAATTTATTTGATCCTCAAATATTGAATCAAACGATTGATTTTGTTATAAATTATGACAATTGGTTTTAAAAATTTTGATCTAAGAATTTCATAGTTGAACTTCATTGTTTTTATAATTTAATGGCAACACCTATGCCTTCTCAATACATACATCCAAAAGTAAGAGTCATGCAAATTAATGTAGTATATTTTAAATTTCTTATTCAATAAAAAAAGACTTGTTATTATCAAAAAGCATTGTATTTATACTATGGAGAACCTAAACTTACTACTTAACATAGTCTAAAGAAACAAAATAATAACAAAATGAGGAGTATGATTTTCAAAAAAGATAATATGCCGATTTTTTTTATCCAATTAGAATAGGAACTATGCATTAGATATCTAATTCAATATCTACTATATATATATATATTTAATATTTTTATTTCATAATAGATGTTTATATAAGATCTAAAAATCACAAAGTTCTTGTCTTGTTAGGTTTAAGAGCCTTAGCTTCTTTCTGAGATGAAGAATTTATTGAAAGACATAATATATATTTAATAAAAAAACTATTATAGACATTTAATAAAAATATTTTAAGAATATTTTAAAAATATCCTATTAGATTCTATTTTTTTAAAAAATATTCTTAAAATATTTTAATAAAAGGTTCTAAAAGGTTATAAAAATATTCTAATAGAATCTAAAAAAATTTAAGAGGATTAAGAAAGTTGTTTAAGAAAGATCCTAAGATTGGTTGATCTCCAAGCAATATGAATTTTTTTTGAGAAGCTTCTTAATATCTATTAAATATTGGAGTCAAAGTTGAGAGGATCTTCAATCTCAACAATGTCTCTTAAAGCTCTAATTTATCTCTCTTGATATTGATCTTGTACTTATCTGATTTAATCATAACCATGCTAATTTTCTTCTTGAAATTCTTTTATTCAACTTCTTATTTGGTCTTTTATATAGTATATCCATGATAATTTATTGAAATTACTCTCTTATCAATAATAGAGCTTAATCTTTTTTGATAGAAAGTAGATTATTTTTTTTCTTGAAGACACCTATATTGAAGAACAAGCACTTTGAAGACACAACACTTAATATCAGCAAGGTTGCACACAAAGAGAGTATGAAATAAGACGTCTCTCACTTCTAATATCCATTACTTATAGGTAGTGGTTGTTATCCTAAAAGACAACTTCTACTCTTTGACTTTTACACACGTGGCCCTAGGATCCTTTTGGCATCTCACGAGCCTCGAGGATATCCTATGACACATAATAATGACTCATATTTAGTCTTTGGATATTCCCTTGTTAATACTTTATACTTTTGACTTTGACTCTTGGTTCATGACTTCGTCTTATATCTATTGGATGCCCTTACTATATACCAAGAGTCAAACCTTTGACTACTAGCAACTTCCTTAAGTTATTATCCTCTATAAGATAACTTATTCTATTTTTACTTTAACACTCCCACTTTGCTTTTGATCAAATGGCTTTTAATCCTAATGCCTTTGTCAACATGTGGTGTCTATCTTTTATGAATGCCTTTGTCAACAAATCAGCAAGCATTTCCTCCGTTGCACAATACTTCATATCAATCACTCCTATTTCAATCTTCTCTCTTATAAAGTGATGTTGAATGTCAATGTGCTTGTCTTTGAATGATGCTTTGGATTCTTTACAAATATAAGACATCTTTGATTGTCACACTCTATAGGAGTTGCTTCTATTTACACATCTTCAATGTCCTCTAAAAGTTGT